TCAGGAAAACAAATAGACAAATAATAGTGAGTTACAGAAAAAATGGTAGGAAATTATCAATGGTTGTTGTGCTATGCTTTGGTTTCTTCAAAGTGGTTTCTAGGGAAAACAAATAGCGCTATACCTGAGTGATCAAAAAGTTTTATTCTTATGCATCCATGTTTGCAGCACCTAACGATTATAGTCATCATGGGAAGTTGGTGCGTGTGCCTAACATTTCCTAATTCTGTTCTCATCCCCTTCCCCTCCCCTCTCTCTCTGTTCCCTCCAACTCCTCTTCCCTTCCCATTTGCAAAGCTCCCTCCAGCCCCCATTTCCTATGGCCCATCTTTCATCGTGCTCTTTAATTTATTTGCACTTCAGATTTCTCCTATGAGAGAAACCACATGGTATTTAGCTGGGTGTCTGATCTACCTCACTTAACGTTATGGTCTCCAGATATAAGACTATAAAGACGAAGATGGATGAACTTCACTGTCCTGCTCACTGGCCTGTTTGAGAAGTGTATCTATCTCCCCTCACTCTCCTGATGTCTTGGAAGGTTAGACAACAATTTAGTTTCGGTCCGGTGGTGTGGCACTTAGGTGTGAGTCAGGGCTGCGCTGGCTTGTATTACACATCTTGGCTGGAGACTTGGTGACAGTGTTGGGTTCTTGGTCTTTCCAGTGCGGGCTTGGGCCTTCTCTCAAACTCAGTATCCTCCCCTGCAGAGGAGGTGAAAATGGACCTCCCTGCCAAGTTGTTTGAAAGGTTAAAGTTGTTAAGGCAAGGACTGCGCTCCAACACCAGCAGTGAGCACTTGGCCAGGTAATCTTAATTGTCAACTTACTGGATTAAGGGACTCCTGGAGAGGTGATTAGGAGGTAGAGCCTGACTGGAGGAAGCGGGTCATGGGGGCATGACCTTGGGGCTACACTGTCCCTGACCTTTTCTTCTTAGGTTCTTTTCCTGCTCTTTTCTTCCTGGCTGCCAGAACAGCTCTCCTCTGCCATGCCCTTCCGCCATGATGTTCCTGCCTTGGCACCAGCTGGCCAGGAACTGAACCCTCTGAAACTGGAAGCGCAAATAAACCTCTCTTCTCTTAACTTGCAGGGTCAGGTGTTGTGTTCCAGGGTCAGGCATTGTGCTCCAGTGACCAAAAGTTGACCGATGCAGTATTTTCATCTGCTTAGCAGGTATTACACATCTTGGCTGGAGACTTGGTAATCAGCTTTCCATCACTATAACAAATATGTGATAATCATCTTATGTGAGAGAAGGTTTATTTTGGTTCACAGTTCTACATGTCCCAGTCCATGATGGTTGGCCTGGTTACTTTGTGTGTTTTTCAAGTTTTTATGTTTGTGAGTACATATTTGCAGCAAATAATGACTAATGGGGAGTTGGTACAGGTACATAATACATCTTAATTCTTTTTCCACCCCTTTCCTTTCCCTTCCTTCCCCTGCTTCCCTCTTCCCTCCACCTCTTGCTCCCCTTCCCATTTGCAAAACATCTCTCTCCCTGCTTCGTATTATTCATCTTTTATTTTGCTCTCTACAGTTTAGGTTTCTCATATAAGAGAAACCATGTAATATTCAAACTGTGTGTCTGATTTATTTTACTTAACATCATGGTTTCAAATGCACCCATTTTCCTACAAGTGACTCAAGTTTATCCTTCTTTATGGCAGGGTAGTGCTCCGTTGTATGTAAATACCACACTTACTTTATCCATTCATCTGTTAATGGACATGTAGGCTGCTTCCCAGATGTAGTGGTTATGAGTTATGCTGCTATAAACATGAGCAAGCATGGATCACTGGACTATGCTGTTTTTAACTCTCTCAGGAAGATGCCTAGAAAGAATAGCTGGGTCCAGTGGAATTTCTAGCTTTAGTTCTTTGAGGAATCTCCATACTGATCTCTATAGTGGTTGTACTACCTTATATTCCCACCAACAGCATGGAAGGGCTCCTTTTTCCCCACAGCCTTGCCAGATTATTATTTGATTTCTTGATGATAGCCATCCTTTCTGGGGTAAAAATAAATCTCATGTTGTTTGGTTCACATTTCTTTTCTTTTTCTTCTTCTTTTTTTTTTTTTTGAGGACAGGGTCTCATTATGTAGCCCAGGCTGGCCTCAAACTTGTGGCAATGCTCCTCAGCCTCCCGAGTGTTGGGATTACAGTCTTGTGGCACCACCCCCAGCCTGGATTCACATTTCTCTAATTACCTGGTTACTCTGATGTAGTGTCACATCAGAGTGGGGACACGTGGCAGGGCAAGGCCATTTGCTTCATGACCAGGAAGCAATGGAGAGAAAGGGGAGGGACAGGGCCTGCCACTCCCTGTGAGGACACAGCCCCCAGTGACCTGAGACCACTCACCGGGTTCCCTCTTCCCCGTAGCTCTAAACAGGGCCCAAGCCTTGACCACCAGGGTCTGAGATCCAGACACAGCAGGTCTCTGACCCGCACCTGCCCTTGTCTTTGCAGACAGACATCGGGTTTGTCTACCACTCTCCAGGTAGGTAATGGTGGTCACAAATCTCAAGAAAAGTCACACCGGGTGAGAATAACTCAGGATCACCAACAAATGGGGGAGGGTATTAAGGGGTATGAGTCATTTTCTGTACTTGATAATATGTTCTTGTACTTCATGGTATTTTTATCTTACTTTATAATAATAGCATCTTTCTCTAGAAAAGTCAAGGCACCCCTTCGGGTCAAATGCTAACCTTTTATTACAACCCTGGGTTGAATGTCTATTTTTTGAACCCAATTTTGGGAGATTGAGGTTGTTAACATTGTTAATTGACAGCTAACAATTGTACATGTTTATGGGGTACAGACTGATAGTTCAATACCTGTATACAATGTAAAGGTCAGATCAAGGTAATTGGTATAACTATCTCCTCCAATATTTATCATTTCTTTGTGTTAGGAATATTCAAGATCCTCTCTACTAGCTATTTTGAAATAGACAATTAATGATCATCAAGCATAGGAGGCTGAGGCAGGAAGAGCAAAAAGTTTCAGTCCTGTCTGGAAAAGCAGTGAGACCAGGTCTCCAGATAAAAATAAAATAAATAAATAAACAAACAAATAAAAGGCTAGGGATATAGCTCAGTGCTAGAGCACCTCAGGGTTCAATCCCCGGTATCACCCCCCAGAGAAGGAAGCACTGTTAGGTTACCGTGCAATAGGACACTGGAGGCTTTCTCCTTCCTCCCCTCAGCTGTAACCCTAACCCGTTACCCACTCTCTCAGCTGGTCCCCAGGGTGGCCAGGGGGTCCTTCTTTCCCAGAGCCACCCTTGGCAGCTTTATGAGTGCTCACTCAGTCATCGCCTACTTGGAGAAGGGACCCTTGTTTCCCTGTGCCACTGTGGGAACCAGCACACATGAGACATGTCCCTCCCTGGCTCCCCCGGAAACGCAGTGGCTTAGGGGAGCACGGGGGCAGGGGGCAGAGGCTGGTCTCCCAGAGTCCTCTGCTTCTCCAGGCCACACCCTCCTGAGGAAATGGCTGGGCCTCTGCCAGCCAAATGTACCCGGAAGCGGGGTGAGAGGCTACCTGAAAGTCACCATCTGTGCCCTTGGTGTGGGAGACCAGGCTCTGGTGAGGCTTCCCCCAAGCCCTGTGACCGTCCCAACCCCAGCTGGCTGCTCCCTGGTGCAGCTGTGAGCCCTCAAAGTGGCCTTTCACCTGCAAATCCTTCCTTTTGCCCACTATGCCAAGACAGGGTTGTCCCAATCTCCCCGCCCACAGAATAGGTGGCCTTGGCTGTGACAGCCCTGCCACCCCGAGGCCACCCGGCTCACTGGTCCCTCCAGGTGGATCAGAAGCTGCTGTACAGGGACGACACGGATATTGAGGTCTTCAAGTCCACGGCTGTCCCGATGGCCACAGCTTACCTGCAGCTCTTCATCTACTGTGCCGAGGACCTGCACCTCAGTTAGAGTCGGGGAGCAGGGCAGGAGGCCCCCAGCTCCTCACGGGGCTCCCTCATCCCTTCCGACACTGACCTCAGGCTTGGGCCAGGGAGCGGGTGACACTGAAATCCACCGCGAGTTGTTGTATGAAGGCCCCTGTATGTTGTATGATGCTCGCCTGTAGACCCAGGCCCCTGTGGCCGTCCTGTGCCTCCCGCCCCGGGCCACTGTGAGGCTGATGCACAAAAGGGGCAGAGTGGTAACTGCAGACCTCACCCTGAGGTGCGAGGGAGGGTTTGAAGTTGCCTGTCGCCCCCGCGTTTCCAGCTGAAAAATGCTGCTGCTGTCTCAGGAGTCCTTGCCTGTCTCGCTCACAGGGAGATACCAGCCAGCCAGCCCCGTGTTAGAGGTGGAGCTCATCGGGGAGAAGGTACGTGGAGAAAGCTCCTTGACCCAGACAACACCGCACCCAGAGGTCATGTACAGGACCCCAGAAATCACGTCCCAGCTCAGCCACCCAGTGTGCAGGTGACCTCTGGGCCCGGAACTCTGTGGAGCAGTCAGGTTGCGTATTCCTGATTCCCAGAGGATGTCCAGCACCTGGCAGGGAGAAGGTGCCCACTGGACCCAAACATCCAGCTGTGTGGGGGAGTAATGGGTGAATGAAATAGTGTGCCAACAGGAGAAAAACAGGGAGGCTGGGGTGGTGGCACTTGCTTATAATCCCAGCACTTGAGAGGCTGAGGCAGGAGGATCTTCATGAATTCGAGGCCAGCCTGGCTACATAGTGAATTCAAGGATGGCTTGAACTATATAGGGCCACCTATCTCAAAACACTGAAATATAAAATAAAATAATAAAAGGCTGGAGATGTAGCTCAGAGTAAAGGCCCTGGTTCAGTTTCCATTACTGAAAAAAATATATATATACAACACAAAAACCATTACCATTACCATCCCCTCTGGCTTCAGTTTCCTCATCTAGAAAGCAAAAATTCCCAGCAAGAGAACTGCTGACCTTCCATAAACTTCTATGAATACAAAGTAGCATTTTCCAAAGTGTGCTGGTGAATGTTGCATGCAAAAAAGGGTCCAGTGTTCAAGTCTGGGGAATAGTTTTGTGTCAGATTCACAAATCATCGTTTCTGTTCTCTCTGTCAAAGGTAATAATTACATCCAGGCAGCTAGATGTGGTGGTGCATGCCTGTCATCCCAGCACTCAGGAGGCTGAGGCAGGAGGACTGTTGTGAGTTCAAGTCCAGTCTGGGCTATGAAGTGAACTCAAGGCCAGCCTGAATTGCATAGGGAGACCCTGTCTCAACAAGACAAAAAAAAAAAAAAAGTTATATCCAGCCACACATAGGGAAGAAGGCTTAATGTCTACCCTTCCAATCAAGAAGTACCAAGAATCCATTGTGGACACATTTATTTATTACTATTACTATTATTATTATTAATGCTTTTTTTGAGACAGTCTCACTATGTGTTCAGGCTGGCCTTGAACTCACTATGTAGCCCAGACTGGCCTCGAAACTCCAGGGATCTTCTTGCCTCAGCTTCCTAAATACTTGGATGGCAGGCGTGTACTACCAGCCCAGTGGAATCAGTCTTTTAAAGAAAAATCAGTTGATCATTTTAAAAAGGGTGTGCTGCTGCCATCAGACATGGTTTTGGTCATTTTTCTGTTGGGAATCTCCAAATTTATCTAACAAAATCTATCTGTGTACACTCATAGAATAAAGTTAGCAATTCTACCCTATCTATTTAAAGGAAAGGCTGGGGGTGCGGCGCAGTGGTCGGGAGCTCGCCTGGCATGTGGAGGCCCTGGGTTCCATTCCCAGCACCATGCAAAAGAAGCAGGAGCTGATGAGCTCAGCTTTAGACCCAGGAGTAGCCCTGGCACCTGGGTGCTACAAAAGGCCATGCTGCTGGGCAGGACAGGGCTGGAGGGCAGGGCCCGGCAGGACGGACGGCCTAGCACTGATCCAGCTTTCGGATGTTCTCAGCTCAGGACAAAAGTGCAACACCAAACCGACAACCCCATATGGAACCAGATCCTGACCTTCCAGATCCAGGTACGGCTGCCCGAGCCCACGTCCCACAGAAGAGAAAGTCCAGGGTCCTCAGGGTGCAGACAGGAGGTGGGGCCAGGACAGCACTGCCTGTAGGGAGTTGAGGAAGCCCTGGGTGACTTCCAGAGACCCTTACCCTATTTGTCCAGCACCAAGCAGTGAGTGAGCCATAGGTCTGGACTTGCCAGAGAATTTAAACTTGCTTTTTCACGCAATTAAAGAAAGAAAACAAGTCACTTTCAAGACTCATTCTGAACTGAGTGTGGTGGTACATGCTTGGAATCCCAGCACTTCGGGAGGCTGAGGCAGGAGGATGGCAAGTTCAAACCCAGACTGGGCATTTTAATGACTTAGTGAGACCCTGTCTCAAAATAAAAATAAAAGAGGGCTGGAGGTGTAGCTCAGTGGGAAGGCCCTGGATTCAACCCCCAGTACCGCCCGCCTCAAAAAAAGTAGTTCTAAATTGTGTTATACATTTTCTCATCTTGCAGGCAGTGTGCCCAGAGAGAACCGTGTCTCTGTAGAGGCCCTCGGGGCACAGCCCCTCCCCTGGGCGGGATGCAGCACAAGCTGTTCGCTCCTCCGTGGACTGGCTCCAAGCTGCTCTGCCCTGGGGTCCCTTACTCCAGTCGGTGTGGCGCCCTGTCCTGCCTGGCCTCCCAAAGCCGCAGGGGTCGACTTTTCTTAAATCCTTAATGACCCTGTGACTCCTTGCCAGGCTCCCAGCTGTGCAGAAATGAGAATAAATTGTTTTGAGAGACAGCTGGAGCTCTGTGAAGGGCAAGCTCACAGAACCCTGGGTCACAGCAGCCCAGCTCCCTGAGAATATTTACCTTTTTTACTTTACAGTGCATGATATGAACCCAGCTCTCTCCTTTCTCTTCTGCATTCCCACCTGCTGCTTCTAGAAGCTTCACCAGTCAGTCCACTAGCGAGGCATCATTTGCAACCATTCTTCAATAGGCCTCACCTCCTTGGATGATGTGATAGGCTTTTTTCCCAGTACTGTCGATTGACCCCAGGGCCTTCGCACTGAGCTACATTCCACCCCAGCTCCCCCGCAAAGGGTCTCAGTAAGTCACTAAGTTACAGGCGGGGCTCTAATTTGGAATCTTTCTGCCTCAGCCTCCAACAGTGCTAAGACTACAGGTCTGTGCCACCACACACCCAGCTTGATTTTATAGACTTTTAGGAAGGTATTTTAGAGGCAGCCAAATCCATCTAGCAGTCTTGCTGGGCTCCCTGCCACCTTTCCCTGGCTGTGATGAGGCCTGGTGGCCCAGGTCCTCAGATGCCATGTGGGTGCTATAGCTTAGCAAGGTTTCTAAATACCCCTGGACCTCACTTTTCTCCCCACGAATATGGTCCCCAGCGCTGAGGTGATTCTGGTGTGGGCCTGATTGTCACCCCCTTGGAAAGGCCCAGCTGTTGGGGGACAGAGCTTGCAGCTGCACCTCACACAGGCCTGTGCCAGTGGCCCATCCAGAGTCCCCGAGTAGGAGGGGGACAGCATTGCGGAGTCAAGGCAAGGAGCTAGGGAAGGCTAGGAGACTGAACAGGCAGAAGGAAAGACGGCTCAGCCATGTGTCTGATTTCGGAGAAGCAGTTACTTTGCAAGACCCAAATGTCATGTGGCGCCCCTCTCTGCCCTTAGCCGGGGCCATGGCCTCCCAATTCCCAAGCAGCTGCTCAGCCAGAGGCCTCTCCCCAGCTCCTGCCTCAGCGCCAGCCCCTGGGCGAGCAGAGACGGATGAGGAGGGTGTGGATCTGGGAGCTTCCCGCCAGCCCAGCTCCAGAGACTTGGGCCCCACGCTGCTGGGCACGCGGCGGCCCCTCACTTTCTCATTAACAATCGGCACAGCGCCTGCCTGGCAAGTGCAAGGTCATGAGTTCGATTCCCAGTACCAGAAAAAAAAACAATCGGGGAGCAGCACAGTGGGGGCTCAGCCCGGGGCTCAGACCCCGGCTCCACCCTTTCCTGTGCGACCCTGAGCAGGTCCCTGGGCCTCACCCCCATCTGTAGGGAGGGACACATCACAGACCCCCGCATTAGGGAGTGGTGGGTGAGACTTCTGAAGCAGCCCCTCCCTACGCACGTGCCGTGTGAAAAGTTTAGGAACTCAACCCCTTCCTGCCTCAGTTTCCCCCAACAAGAATGAGCGCCTGCTCAATGGGGGGCATTTCACTGGGCATTTCACTCCATTGCTGTACGGGCTGGGGGAACGACGGAAACCCTGCCAGGGCTGAGGCCATTATTATTTACTCTCTGCTGTTTAAAAAGCTAAGTGATGAGTGAGTGTGCATTGAGGACTAAGAAGGGTCCTGGGGACCCTAATCCTGCATCGCTCCACTGGCGGGACTGGCTGAGGGCTCTCAGGCTCTGCTGCTTTTTTTTTTTTTTTTTTTTTTATGAGACAGGGTCTCACTGTGTTGTGCAGGCTGGCCTTGAACTTGCTTATGTAGCCCAGGCTGGCCTCAAACTCACAGCCATCCTCCTGCCTCATCCTCTCAAGCGCTGGGATTACAGGAGTAGCCACCACACCTGACCTATGCTGCCTTAACAGCAAGAATATAAAGGCTGGGGATGTAGCCCAGTGGTAGAACCTGGCATGCCTGAGGCGCTGGGTTCCACACCCTGCACCAAAATACAATCAAATACAGGAGCAAGAGTCCAAAATGATAAATGGACGCAGATCCAGGCCTTGTGAGGTCCCTAAAACTAAAGCCCCGTAAGCTCCCTGGTGAAACCCAGTTAATCTGCGGTGCACTGATAACTGAGCCAGACCGCAGCCCCAGGACTCCTCCACCACTCTTAACATGTCTCAGAGAAGCCAGGTGTGGGGGTACACGTCTGTAACCCCAGCACTTGGGGAAGCTGAGGCGGGAGGATCTCATGTCCAAGCTTAGTGACTTAGAGAAACCCTGTCTCCAAATTGAAAGAGGGCTAGGGATGTTGCTCAACACAAAGGCCCTGGGTGCAATCTCCAGGACCGGAAAACAAGGCGGGGGGGTCTCCCCTCCACGTGTGCTCACGGCTCTTCCGGCCCCCACAGCTGCCCTTCCTCTCCAGCTACATCAAGTTCCGAGCCCTGGACTGGTGAGCGTGGGTGAGGGACCAGAGCCACACGGGGTGGAGCAGAACCCCGCGGCTGCCGGCTCAGCCTGCAGTGCTCTCTCCGCAGCGCCACGAGCAACTGCCAGGATGAGATCGGCACGGCCAGCCTGTCGCTCAGCCACATCTCCTCCACCGGAGAAGAGATCGAAGGCAAGCCAAGCGGCCCGCCTCCCGCCTCCCCGGCGCTGGCCCAGCCCTGCCCTCTTACAGCTTTCCTTGCAGGCCTCTACTCGGGCTTCCTGCCCTGCTTCGGCCCCAGCTTCCTACCTCTCCACGGGGGTCCCCAGGCTCCGTCCAGGATCCAGGAAGAAGCCGGTGTAAGCTTTCCCACCAGCTCTAGGGGACGCAGGCGCTATCATGCCATGGCCATAAAGTTCCAGGGCCTGGAGTTGGGCTGACTTCTGCCCACCCGAGCTGTATGTAGGGGGAAAGCAGGGGGATGGAAGGAACAGCACAAGGTCCATGGAGACCTACAGTAAGATTTCTGCAGGAGGAAAGGACACGGGCCCAGGTAAACAAGGAAAAGCATGAGGTTATTCAAGACAGGTGAGAAGAACCTGGCGTGGTGGCATACTCTAATCCCAGCACTCAGGAGGCTGAGGCAGGAAGAGCTCTGTGAGTTCAAGGCCAGCCTGTCTCAAAAAAACAAAACCAACACACAAAAAACAGGTGATAAATGCCAGAAGCCATCCTGAGTTGGGAAAGGAAAAGGGAAGGAGGCTGGGAAGGGCTGTGAGTCAGGAAAGGCTGCAGGAACCAGACCTCGAAGGCCTGTAGGAGGCTCCTTCCTTCTCACCCCTTCTCTCCTTTGGCCCTTAACACCTCCCCTCCTTCTCTCCTGCTTGTCTCGGTCTGTTGTCTGTAGTCTGACTGGGAACCAGGACCCAAGACCATGTAAACTTTTTTCCCCTTGCAGCACAGGCGATTGAATCCAGAGCCTTCCTACTAAACTACATCTCCAACCCATTTTAAATGTTTTTATTTTGAAACAAGTTCTTGCTAAATCACTAAATTGCCCAGGCTGCCTTTGAACTTTGTGATCCTCTTGGTTCAACCTCCCAGTGCTGGAATTACAAGCCTGAACTGCCAAGCCCTAGTTTAGGGAAGATTCTGATTGGTTTTTGATTGGTCATGTGTGCTCTCTTTGGACCAATCCCTGTCACCAAGGAGGCAGGGCATGTCCTGATTGGTCAGGCTGCCTGCATGCTGTGGTGATCACAGTGGCCTGCGAGGTCGCTCAAGTTCTCTGATGGGTGGAAGATGTGACAGGAGTGCTGGATGCCAAGAGGCAAAAAAGGGGTTGGGCCCAGAGGTTTCCTGGCGTGGAGGTGTCTGGGCATCTGGAGTTGCCCCTGGATTGTGGTTGGAGCTCTCGACGCCTCCTCTTTGCTCTGGGGGATTTCCAGAAGAAGCATCACTCTGTTCCCTTTCCCTGCATTCTGTCCCTCCCAGAGTACTCCTGGCGCTCCTGGGGACGGTTTGTCTTATCGAGGTCGAGTCCTCCTGGAGTTAATCACCCAAATCAAGTCCCATCAAGACAGTATGATAAAGGATCTCTCCCAAGAAGTGGCCCGGATCGAGGTAACCAGGGAAAATCGCTCATCCGCCCTCCCTGGCCCCAGATGAATAGACTGGGGAGGAGTAAGTTGGGGTTACCCGGTTCAGGGAAATGGGGACACGGTCTCCATAGAGGAGAGCTGGAGGAAGGAGACAGATCCTAGAGATACTGTGGAAACAGAACAGTCGGAGCCAGTGACCAACAGGAAGCAGGAAGCCAGGCTGATCCCCCAAGCCCACATCCCTTTGCTGCCTCTGTGCTGAGGGGTCGGGGATGGCGGACACCAAGCTGGACTCCGTGGAGGAGGAGCAGGTTGGGGATCGTCAGTCTTCACAGTTTGAGCCCAGGGATGGAATCCAGAGCCAAGTGGATTCCACCACCTGGAAGAAACAGCCGGGCCAGGGTGGATGGAGTGGAAGGACAAGGGAGCTGAGCCTAATGGGACACCGTAGTCTAGAGGCCCCCGGCGGAGGAGGGAGCAGAGGAAGTGATCCTGAACCCTAAAGGGAAGCCAAGGGGCTTCTGAGAGAGCAGGTCATCTCCTCCTCATCGCCCTGGGCAGCACAGTCTTGTCCAGCCCTTGACTCATGTCCTGGGGCTATGGGGCTGCCATTCTAGAAACACCAGAACCGCCAAAAGTATGGGCTGTGTGTCGTCTTCCTGTCCTGTACCATGATGCCCAACTTTAAAGACTTCATCCAGTTCGAGGTCAGCATTGGCCACTACGGAAACAAGATGGACCTGAATTACAAGCCTCTGGTGTCCACCACACAGTACAGTCCCGTGATATACGATGGTGATTGTCCAGTTCAAGTCCTCTTCCCATGATGCTCCACAACTTCCCCAACCCCATTTCTCCTGCTTTCCCAAACCAACTCCCGTCCATCCGTCCAGTTACCATCCACCCTCCCTTCATCCACCTCTTCATTTACATATTCATCCACTCAGCTGTTCACCTCCCAGCCATCCACCTCCCAGCCATCCTCCGTTTCAAACTCCCAACCAACCACTTATCTACCCACTCATCCAATAAATAGATTTGGGGCATCTATATCAGGCACTGTAGAGTAGCATAGTCCTGGGCCAGCAGCACCCCCGGCATGCTTGTTAGAAGTGCAGATTCTTGCTGTATGTAATAGCACACCACTGTAATCCCAGCTACTGAGGAGGCTGAAGCAGGAGGATTGCAATTTTGAGGACAGCCTGAACAATTTAGTGAGACCCTGTCTCAATAAAAAAATTTTGTAAAAAACAGGGGTGTAGCACAGTGCTAGAGCACTTGCCTAACATACGTGAGGCCCTGGCATCAATCCCTAGTACCACAAAAAAGTAATTGGGCATGATAGAGTATGCCTGTAATCCCAGCACTCAGGAGGCTGAAGCAGGAGGATTGCCATAAGTTTGAGGTCAGCCTGGGCTACATAGTGAGTTCAAAGCCAGCCTGAACTACCTAGCAAGACCCTGTCCCCACACCACAGGTATAGATTCAGATAACCTGGAGAGGGGGCCTCAGAAACTATATTTTAAGCAAGTGTGATTTGGGTGCACGCTAAAATTTGAGAACCACTGGCATGGAGCAGAACTTTCTCCCTTGCATCTTTGTCAGTCTTACCTACCACCCACTGAGAGCCTTTCCGTGACCCCACTTCTCAGCTTGTTTTTTAAACAAAAGCTTTGTTGAGACAACTCACACACCATACAGTTTGCCTGTTTGAAGCATTCGTCCCTGTGGATTTCAGGACATTCACAGCATCAAGCGACCATCACCGCAGTCGTGTTTGGAATATTTCCTTCAACCCCAAAAGAAACCCCAGGCCCATTGGTGCTTGCTCCCCACTTCCCCCCTACCTCCAAGCACTACTTCCTGTTTCTAGTCTGTAATTCCGTGTTCATGGAATTGTACAATATGTGATTCCTTGTGCCTGGTTTCTTCCATCTAGCTTCGTGTTCTTATTTTTTTATATTATGACATATGTACACAAAAGTATATAAATATACTTACAGTTTTAAAAAGAATGAATTCCGGGGGCTGGGGATTTAGCTCAGCGGCACAGTGCCTGCCTGGCAAGCGCAAGGTCATGAGTTCAATTCCCGGTACCGGAAAAAAAAAAAAAAAAAAGAATTCCCATGAACTCACCACACAGCTTAGAAAACAGAAAGTCTGCAGCACTGTAAAAATGTCCCTGTCTGGTCTTGCCCCAAAATAACCATGATCCTGTCTCCTGTGTTTATCATCCTTTGCTTTATTTTTAATCTTTACCCCTCTATGCACGGAACTTTGAAAAGCATACTGTTCCTTTAAAAAAAAAAAATACTGTTCTTTTTTATGCAAGTAGGACTCTTAATCATATTCATCTGCAAACATATCTTTTGGCCAACATTACATTTTTATATGGGTTCAGTTTCACTTGTGTATATATTCCATGGTATGATTACACCACAAATTATGTGGTATATGTAGACACTGAGGTTGTATCTCTTTTTGGTATTATAATAATTTTGTTGTAAACAGTCTTGTACATGTCTCCTGGTCATAAGGGCAAGGCTTTTCTCTAAATTATATACCTGGGAATGGAAGAGAATCTCAAGACAAAAGTGATTATTCCAAATTACACTCTCATCAGGATGGTATGAGAGTTCCTGCCATGCTGCGCTCTCACCAGGACTTGCTGCCCAGGCTTTTAATTTTTGCCAAGCCAGTGAATGTGAGACAGCCTCTCACTGGGCCTTCATTTGCTCTTGCCTGATTGTAAATGAGGCTGAGCCTCTTCTCATATGGATATAGGCATTTGTTTATCTGTAAAAAACAACAACAAAAAAACCCAAAACCTGTTCCTCTCTTTTATCTATGATTCCACTTGGTTGTATTTTTCTATTGATTTGTATGTTAAATCTCTTGCCAGATCATGAACTCAACACCCCGTGTAAAATATAGAAAAGTGGACATTCTTACACCTTTCTGTGGGGAAGGGACTGTTTACTGAGTTTGCCTTTTTATACTGAATTGCAGGCATTCTTTTATATTTTGGGTACAGGTCCTTTGTTCGAGATGTTTTGCTAACATTTTCCAGTCTGTGGCGTGGCTTTTCAGTTTCTACACAGAATCTTTTGAAGGTCATAGATTTCTAATTTTGGTAAAGTTCAACTTGTTGATTTTTTTTCTTTTGTAGCTAGTACATTATGTGGTCCAAGAAACGATTCCATTAGATCATGCATGTCCCAAGATCGTGAAGCTACTGTTTATTCTACAAGTTTTATAGTTTTAGCCTCTTTGTTTAGGTTTACATTTAATTTGACTGATTTATAGACAGTATTAAGGAGGAGTTGAGGTTCTTTTTTTTCTACATACATATCCAGTTCAGCATTATTTGCTGAAAGACACTGTTTGTTCCCACACTGAATTAGTTTGACACCATTGTTGAAAATTAGTTAACCAAGCTGGGCATGGTGGCACATGCCTGTAATCCCAGCACTTGGAAGGCTGAGGCAGGAGAATCATTGCGAGTTCGAGACCAGCCTGGGCTGCAAAGTGAGCTCAAGGCCAGCCTGAACTATATAGCGAGACCCTGTTTCAAAAAGACAAAAAGAAAAAAAATAGTTAACCATATATTGTCTGTCTAGAATGTCTATTCAGTTCCATTAATTTATTTCTCAATCCTTATGCCAAATCACTCATATAAATAATAATACTGTCTTATTATGTATAATACAGAATGGAATTATACCAGTAAAACTGCATGTATACTTTACATTACCTTTGTTCTATATTGCATTTTTTCTTTTTTTGGTGGAAGCAGTATTAGAAATAGAACCCAGGGGCTGCGGATTTAGCTCAGCGGCATAGCGCCTACCTGGCAAGCACAAGGTCGTGAGTTCAATCCCCGGTACCGGAAAAAAAAAAAAAAAAAAAAAAGGAATAGAACCCAGAGCCTTATGCATGCTAGCAAATACTGTACCACTGAGTGATACTTTAGTACTTTTATTGAAAAAAAATTTTTTTAGAGAAGGCGGGCCTTGAACCCATGTCCCTCCTACTCAGCCTCCCAAGCAGCAGGCTATCAGGACTGTGCCAGCATCCCCAGCATTTTACAAATTTTGTTTAGGATTTTTGTATTTATGTTGATGAGTAAAATCTTTGTTTATTTATCAAGCAATTGATTTAGCAGTATAATTTACGCCCCATAAAAAAATCCACGCAACAAAAATTTAAAATATATGTGGCATAAAATTCACTTGTTTTAGCTTAGCACGATGACACATGCCTGTAATCCCTGAACTCTGGGAGACAGAGGCAAATTGCAAGTTCTAGCCCAGCCTGGACAATTTACTGACTTAGTAAGACCCTGTCTCAAAATTTAAAAAATAGCCAGGCATGGTGGCACACGCCTGTAATCCTAGCTTTCAGGAAGCTGAGGCAGGAGGATCGCTGTGAGTTCAAGGCCAGTCTGAGCTGCACAGTGAGTTCAAGGCCAACCTGAACTACATAGTGAGACCCTGTCTCAAAAGCACAATCAATCAATCAATCAACCAATAGAATGGGCTTGGAATGTGGCTTAGTGTGAAGGTTTAATCCCCAGTACCACACACACCAAAAGAAAAAAAAATTCATTTATTTTTAGTAAGATTTGGACAATCACCACTACACCCAGTTTCAGAACATCTCCGTCACCCCGAGAAATCCCTCAGTGCTGTTCGGAATTCTTCCCCTGCTCCCACCCCAGGCCCACACAGCTAAATTTACTGCTTATGTGTTTCCTTTTCTGGGTATTTCGTATAAATGAGGTCATACAATGTGTGGTCTTTGTGTTGGCTTCTTACACTGAGCACAAGGTTTTGGAGGTTTATTTATGGTGTGGCATGCAGTGGTACTTCTTTCCATTTTATTGTCAAGTAGCTGGACAGGGGACATAGCCCAGAGGTAGAGCTGTTTACCTAGCATGCCCAGGACCCCGGGTTAAATCCTTAGCTCTGCAAAAGAAGAAAGAAAAAATGTACTCCATCCTATAAACATAGCGATCCCCAGGGAATGGACATTATTTCTACTACTTGGCTACTAGGAATAACGCTGCTATGACCTTTCAGATACAAGTCCTTGTGTGGACATACACTTTCATTTATCTTGGGTAAAATATTTAAACATGAAATGGTTTTGTAAGAAACTACCAACCTTTTTAAAAGTGGTTGCACCATTTGATGTTCCCCAGTAATGTAAGATGATTTCAGTTTCTTACATCCACACCAATGTTTATCATCTGTCTTTTCTACTACATTTATTGTAGTACGAATGTAATGGTGTCTCATTGTGGTTTTAATTTCTATTTCCTATATCTAATGATACTGAGCATCTTTTCATGTGCTTAACCACTGATCTTCTTTCATGTGTCTGTTCAAATCTACTGCCCATTTTTTAATTGGTTTGTTTATCTTACTGAGTTGTAAGAATTGGTTATATAGTCTGGATACAAGTCTTTCATCAGACATACAACTTTCTAATAGCCTGTGGCTTGTCTTTTTATTTTCTTAGTAGTTTTTTGTTTCGTTTTGCTTGGGGGTTTTGTTTATTTTGTTTATTCATTTTTTGAGACAGGATCTCACTATATAGTTCAGGCTGGCCTTGAACTTGTGATCCTCCTGTCTCAGCCTCCCGAGTGCTAGGATTATAGGTGCCACCATGCCTGACCTTAATCATGTCTTTTGAAGTACAAATGCTGTATTTTTATTTATTTTATTTTATTTTTTGTTTGTTTGTTTTGTTTTGTCGCCGGTCCCAGGAATCGAACTCACGACGTTGCACTTGCCAGGCAGGCGCTGTGCCACTGAGATAAATCCCCAGTCCCTCAGATGCTGTATTTTTAATTTAAATCAAATCAAATTTACTTTTTTCTTTTATGGTGTCATAGCTGAGAACTCTAACCTAACCTAAGGTCATAAAGATTTTCTCTTGTTTTTTCTTGTAAAGATTTTATAGGTTTACTTGTTAGTTAGCTCTGTGATTCATTTGAATTAAGTTGCATATGCCTATCATTGTTCAAGCACCATTCGTTAAAAAACAAAAGCAAATTACCTATATTTCCCTATGCGAGCGGTCTTAAATTATATGTTAAAATACTTATTCTGCTCCATTGATTAGTTTTCTACTTTGGGGGCTCCATTTATGGGTTTAATGGTTCTCCGTGGTTTTCTTCTATGTCTCTTCTTTTCTCCCTGATCCTTTCTGGACATTTTTGGCTCTCTTTGGGTGACTTTTCTTTTCCTGTCTTCCTTCCAGTGCCCCTCTGGGGCATCGGCAAGGGCTGATCCTGGCCTCTCACATTCTGTTGGTTTGTCCCCTTTCTGGTTGGTGAGTGCCGGGCTCTTGTTTCCGCCTGTCCCTCAGGAGCATTTTCTCTGGCCCTGTCTGCGACCCCTGCTCTCTGTGCTCAGCTGTGCTTCCCGCTGTCACCTGCCACCGCATCCTCTTCCTGGCATGTCTATGGCCCGGCAGCCTGCAGGGCTCCCGCAGCAGCTGGGGTTGCTTTTGGCAGCCCAGCTGTGTATTCTGAATCTGCACATGACATTGTCTCCATCGGCTGGAAATGGACTTGTTTTCCTCCTCCGTGTTGCTTTTGTAAGCCATCCAAGGGCAGAAGAGGAAAACTGCATCTCAGCCCAGGCTCCTGCTGAGAACCGCAGTCGTGGGTCTCTGCTTATTTACCCTCCCACCATTCACTCAGTACCAGAGCCCAGACCTGGTGTCTTCCAACAATTCCGGCCAATTCTGATTTTTCGCTTTGTAAATTACTTCTCCTTTTCTTTTATGCCCTACATCTGCAGCCCTTTTCTAATTCTGCAGTAGCTAAATTGCTAAGTTGCCCAGGCTGGGCTTGAACCTGTGACCCTCCTGCCTCAGCCTCCAAGAGTGCCAGGATGACAAGTGTGCACCACCATTCCCAGCCACCCTCCATATTTTAAAATCTCTCCCCTTGTTGTTCATCTTGTGGTCTCTCTCATCCATAGTCTGGGTATTTCTGGACCTCAGCACTGTCAGGCCATGAGAACCATTTGATTTAGAGTGCCCCAGCAGCTCCCAGCCCCTTGGCTCTTCCCCAAAGCGCGTGCTGCATTGTACGTGCTGATGGTCTGTTTTGCCTTTCCAACTTTTTACTTCTTACCTAAGCGTTTAATTCAAGGATAACACATCTGTGGAAAGATATCCAAGCCACAGTGTCCAGTGCGGTGCCTAATTATTCCAAAGCAAACCCATCCCTTCAGATCGTGAAGGGCCAGGGGACCCTGTGCTTTGCTCCCGCCCCACCCAGGGCGACCGCTCTCCTCTCCTCCCTTTCATCATTTCTGTCTGTCTTGCATGAAAGAAACCACATAGTATGGGTCCTTGGGCATCCGGCTGCTTCACGCATCAGCTCCCTTGGGAATCGCTGGCACATCTGTTTGGCCTCAGGTGGAGCTGCCTGCCGCTCGTGCGCATTGCTGCATAGCACAGTGTCCTGAGAACTCGGGGGCCCCTCCCACACCCCAGCTCCACACATCCAGCTGACCAGAGACCAAAATTACTCAAAACAAGTGCATCAGAGCCAGATGTGGCAGTGCACACCTGTAATCCCAGCACTCTGGGAAGCCGGGGCAGGAGAATTGCAAGTTTGAGCCTAGCCCAAGGAATTTAGCAACTTAAATAAAAAATGGGCTGGGGATGTTGCTCAGTGCAGAAGCCCTGGTTCAATCCCCAGTGCCACCTCCAACTGCATTGGTAATGAACACGTGCGGGCTTTTTCCCTGTCATTATTTCCTGAACAATACACATGACAGTTATTTACATAGCATTTACATTATCCTAGGAATTATAAGCCCTCTGGAAACGGTTTGAAGTATACAGGAGGAGATATATATATACATACATACATACATGCTATGCCATTTTCTATAAGGACCTTGGGCATCTGTTGACTTTGGTATCTGCAAGAAATCCTGGAACCAACTCCCTGGGGAAACTGAGGCCAGGCGTACACCATGGTTTATCCCTCATCTTGCTGCGGGCTCTCTGGGCTGTTCCCACCTTGGCTGCTGTGGTCAGAGCTCAGGGAACACGTCCAGTGTCTCTTGATGAGGCTGCACTTGGCTTCCTCTCCGGTGGTGGGTGGCTAGGCGTGGGCTGCTGGCAGGGGGTGGTGTTTGGCCTCTCAACTGCTCTTTTCTTCAGAATTTCTTGGAAATTCTTTGAGGTCTGGCTGAAATTTCATTCTCCAATCAGGCACCACTTTATTTATTTATTTATTTTTTTGGTATCAGGAATCGAACTCTGGACCTTGAGCTTGCCAGGCAGGCGCTTGTGCAGCTGAGCTATATCCCCGGCCCCAGGCACCACTTTAAACACTTTGTGCGACAGCCTTCAGCCTTCACAGGTAGCCTGGCTCCCATCCTTAAGCCAGGGACCATGGATTGGTTATTTCCCCAACTTCTCCTGGCCCCAAGGGTGCAGTACAAAGTGCCTCAGACTGATTGGGTTTTCTTTTTTTTCCTATACCAGGAATCGAACTCAGGACCTTGTGCTTGCTAGGCAGACACTGTGCCACTGAGCTATATCTCCAGCGTGAGCAGCTTAAAGTGAGAGAAGTGTGTTCTATCACAGGTCTGGAGGAGACAAGCTACAAGTCAGGCGTCAGTGTTAACTCCTGCTGAGGCTGAGAATCGGTTTTTGTTTTTATTTTTTCGAGACTGGCTCTCACTTTGGCGTTCAGGCTGGCCTTGAACTCACTATGTTGCTCAGGCCTTCCATCCTCCTGCCTCAGGAGGATTACAGGCATGCACCCCCTGGTTTTGTTTGGTGCACTGTTTATTGTACTTAATGGTATGTTTTGATTTTGGCTTCTTTCTTTTCTTTTTTTTTGAGAATGGGGTCTCACTATGTAGTCCTCAAACTCTCAGCAGTCTTCCTGCCTCAGCCTCCTGAGTGCTAGGATTTTGTGCCTCCCTCCCAGCTTCAGTGTCCTAGTAATCCTCAGTGCCCCTAATTTGGGAGATGCATCATTTTCCATTCCCCATCTCCACCTTCACATGGTGCTCTCTCTCTGGTCTCTGGCTGTCACCTTTCAGAGTCTATTTTCTGTGTGTGTGTGTGTGTGTGTGTGTGTGCATGCACGTGTGCATGCTCCATCCCAGCCCCTTTTAAAATTTTTCTTATTTTGAGACAGGGTCTTGCTAAGTTGGTAGATTGCTAAACCAATCTGGGCTGAGATCCTCCTGCCTCAGCCACCCACAGCGCTGGGATTATGACCACGCACCATGACACCTGGCCTGGCACCACCTTTTTTCGTCATTCTTGCACTCCACCCGGACCTCTGTGCTGGCAGGCCCTCCAGGGCTGCGGCCCGGAACAAACCCATTCCTCTCTGGCTCATGGTCTGCCCTGTCTGGAGACAGGCCCCTGCCTTGGTGTCTCCCTTGAGGTTCAGAACTCGGCTTGGTGCCAGGTGCCTGTGTTATGCCCTCCAGGCCATTGCTAGCCTGGGTTCTCGCACCTGGAGGCCAGGGACTTTGTGCAGACAGAGCTGGGGTCGTCAGAGTACACAGGTCAGGCCCAGCATCCAGAAGGGGTCCCGTTAATGTGGTCAGCAGGTCACATCCTTGAGGAATGAAGTAGTCCATGGGAGGTCCTTGAAGGGGACACAGCCAGGCGTGGTGGTGCACACCTGTAATCCTAGCACTCTAGGAGGCTGAGGCAGGAGGATCACAAATTTTACCCCAGCCTGGGTAATTTAGCAAGACCCACGTCTCAAAAAAAAAAAAAAAAAAATTACAAAGGGCTGGGGTTGCAGCTCAGTGTGAAGCGTCTGGAGTCAACCCCCACACTGAAACAAAGAAAAAAAAAAAAAGAAGAAGAAAGGGGGCACGGTGAGAGAGACCTCAGGTCCTTCAACAGCCCCACCCTACTGCGTGTCTCATGTCCCAGGCAACATCTACCACTACATCCCCTGGTACAACACCAAGCCGGTGGTGGCCGTGACATCCAGCTGGGAGGACGTCAGCTTCCGTATGCACGGCCTCAATCTGCTCCAGTTCGCCAGGGACCGCCTGGTGAGTGCGCAGGCGCGCGGAAACTGCGCCGCTAGGCGCTCATATCACTGCGCCTGCGCGTCCTCGCCAGAGCAGCGCAGATTGCTAGAGGCAGCGGTGGGCACTGAGGCACAAAGACAGCCAAGCGAGGCGCTGCCCTGCCCGCCCAGGAAGTCGGGTCTGCCCAGGTACTGTACCTAGGCACTGCTTCCCAGGCCCACCCATCCTGGGTCCTCCTTGCTGCCCATTTCTTTTTTTTCTTTTTTTCTTTTTTTGGTTTTGGTTTTGGTTTTTCTCCGGTACCGGGAACCGAACTCATGACCTTGCGCTTGCCAGGCAGGCGCTTTGCCGCTAAGCTAAATCCCCAGCCCCCTTGCTGCCCATTTCTTCTGCTGGGTAGCAGAAAGTGGAGGTCTCCGAGCCTGGCTAGGGCATGTGACCGCCTTGAACTGCCAGGACCAGTACCCAGCAAGGTCCCTGGTCCTGGCTGGAATCGCCCTCAGCCCGGCCCTGTACCAGGTGACCTCCCCGTTGAACCCGTGCGCTCCTTTCTCCCCTGCCGCCCAGAAAGCCAATTTGGACACCCTGAAGTCCATTCGGAACCCGAGGGACCCTGCCCTGCTTCCGCAGTGGGAGAAGCTGCGGCGGGACTTTGTGAAGGACTGCAGGTAGTCAGAGCGGTGGGCTGGGGCTGGGCCCTGCAAGCCCTGGCCACCCCCAGGCTGCTTTCCAGCTGAACCCAAGCCTGCCGCCCAGGCGCCTGCAAACGCGGCCTGGCTGCCCCATCCAGTGCTGCCTCCGCGCCCCACCACACCTCGTGCTCCTCCCAAACCCACCTCGCCCACACCTGTCAGGCCAACAGTGAGGGTCTCCACAGCTCTCCGACTGCTCCTGCCCCCCGCAGGCCCCAGTGGGGCGCTGCCTGTCCTGGAGGCCGCCAGAAAGCCTCTCAGCCTCTACCCCGGGTTGGGTGGCCTCCGTCGCAGTCACATCCTCCCACATGGTGGGCAGAGCTCCCAGGCCAGGCCAGCTGTGCTCTGGCAGGGTCGCAGGGCTCAAAGGGCCCCACAGCCTGTGACAGGACCAGAGGTAGACACATGGGAAACAGGAGAGAGGCCTAGCTCAGCCCCCGCCACTTTGTCCTGGCCACAGGCGCCCTCTGCCCTGCATGACGGGTCAGCCCAAAGCCACCAACCTGGACAGGAAGAGGTGGCAGCTCCGCAGCCTCCTTCTGCAAGAGCTGGCACAGAGGGCCAAGGAAGCCAAGCCCAGGGACATGGTGGCCACAGTGGAGGGCTGGCTGCGTCGCCTCAATGCTGTGCTGCCCGAGGTGGGCGCTGGCTGCAGGGCAGGGGTGGGCCTGCGAGCTGCCGCGTAGGTCCTGACAAGCCTGTGTCCCCAGCCCCAGGTGAGCCTCCCCGATGTGATGATCTGGCTGATAGCCGAGGAGCAGCGTGTGGCCTTCGCCCGGGTGCCCGCACACACTGTCATCTTCTCCCCGGAGGGGCCTTTGTACTCTGGCAAGTTCTGTGGGAAGATCCAGACCCTTCTGCTGCAGGTGGGGAGCAGGGGGTCCCAGGACAGCCCCAGGGGTCCTTCCTGAGGGTGTGGCAGCTTCCTGTCTCCCTGATCCTTGTCCCCAGAGAAAGGCACAGGCCTGTCCCCATCAGCTGTGGGCTGGTGCCACATCCATGGTTCTCCAGCATGGTCCCCAAATCTACTTCCTCCGTTACCCTCATGGCTACCACTTGGTCTTTTTCCTTGATGTTTCCCTGCTGACCACGATTGGGAGCTCTCCACAATATGTAATGCTGGACCTTCCCCTGTGTCCCTCTGCCTCCTGGAGAAGGTGCCGCCTCCCTTGTGATAGCCCATGGGCTTCCCTGGCCCCAAACATGCTGCTCCTGGCCCTTTCCACCACCCAGCTCAGCCTCTTACTCTTGCCTATGAGATTCCTCCCTGTCCTGCTGAGATTGAATCTGCTCTGCGGCTCGTAGGCTTAAGTGATAGGGACAACTCCTCTCCGTGTCCAGGCCTCAGTCTGCTCTTCTGTAGAATGGGGCTGGTGATACCCACGCCTGCTTCTCTGAGGTGTGTTGAGGGTCCATGCACTTCGCACACACGGTGAGCATGCAGTAGAGTGCCACCGTCCCCCTGCACGGGCTGGGCCAATGCACTACAGCCCAGCCATTCCCAGCCCAGTGGTGCAGGCTCTAGCTTCAGAAGCACCCAGCTCAGCGTGAGCATCCCTGCTCTCAGCTCAGGCAGAAGGCGTGGGTGTGACCCATCTGGAGAGCGTGTGTCCCCTCCCTCACCCACATTCCTGTGCCCTGTGGGACTGACCTGTCTCTGACTCAGTACCCGGAGGGTGAAGGACAGCAGGACGGGCCCCTGGCCCACCTCCGGGTCTGCATGTGGTTTGGCAACATCACTGACAGCAAGGACCTGCAGCTGCTCCGCCAGGGCGACATGGTGGTGTACGCAGAGACGGTGAGCTGCGGCGTGGGGGCTGGGACCAGCGAGGGACAGTGACCTCAGAGCTGGGCGTTACTGATGACCAGAGAATTACGGGGAGCCCGTGGCCCATGGGCTGGCTCTGATGGCAGGGGGGAAGGAAGGTTAGAGTGTCAGGCTTTTGAATTCACTGAATGAAGACATCACCTGGTTTTAAGCTGCGTATGTGGATAAATACATCATAATACAGCCAGCTGTTCAAATCTACAGATTCCATCAAGCGTGGGTGGGAAATGAAGTTAGGTCAGTGATGGTTGGGTCTGTGCTGCGCATGTCAGGCTTTTTCCTTGAACAATACGGTGTAACATCTGTTTACATCGCACTGGCATCGCATTTGGTATGATAAGGGAGGATTTGCAGGAAAGGCAGGTGGTCACAGTTTGTATGTAAATACTAGACCCTTTGGTTTCTCAGGGGGCCTGGAACCTGTTCCCCGAGGACACCAAGGGACGGCCATGTGCTTAACCAGCCTTGTGCAGGGCTGAGGAGCTGGAGAGGGGATTTAGGGTGGGGTTCAGTGGCTGGGCTGGGATCCTTCGGTCCTGCAGGTGCCATTAAAGGCTCCGGCTCGCACATGTGTCCACCCTGCTCCACTAGCTCAGCAACCTGGGGCAGGGTTGACCCCTGAGCCTCAGTCTCCTCACTTGTGCAATGGGGTGTAGCCATTTCTAAGGCTGGGGGGACCTACAGCAGATACTGACAGGGCCTCCCCTCCTCCAGTATGAGAATCAGGCCAAGTACAAAGACCAGTGGGGACAGCAGGGGCTCTATCACTGCCCCCACTTCTCAGACGTCATGGGGCACAAGGCGCTCCCCAAGTCGGAGTTCAAGGAGCCCCCAGGGTGGCACTGGCAGGACAGATGGATAGTGGAGCCTCAGAGGAGGTAAGGCCAGGGTTGCAGGCCCCAAGCCCGCGTACCTCTAGACACACCACATGAGGCAAACTTCCTCTCATTTCCAAGGGCCAGCCAGAGGGGGGCCCAAAGCCTCAGAGCCTGATCCCTGGGTCTGGATGCACAAGACAAGGCCCGGCCCCCCAAGCCTGGAGGCGAGAGTGCCACATAGGGAAGCGTGAGGCCAGCAGACTGTAAGTTCAGGGAGATGTGGGATCTTCTTGTCCCCAGATTCCTCTTGGACATAGACGTCAACAAGAGCCAGGTGCTGGAGGAGGTGTACGAGAACCAGGAACGCAACGTCACAGGCACCTGGGTGCCCTCAGCCACCCCAAACACTGATGTGGTGAGCAGGGCCGAAGCCACCTCAGGGGAGGGGGACAGGCAAGGCTTCCAGGTGTGGGAGGAAGCTAGGCCTGAGCCCTGCCTCCAACTCGTTATGAGGCCCTGGGTGAGTTGTCAGACTCTGGCACTTTCCCCCTCACTGGGACATTGGACCCCAAGGCGGCAGGCAGAGATGCTGTCCACGAGACGTCAGAAACGAGGGAGGGGGAGAGCCATCCCTCTCCAGGCCCCTTCGGAGGTGCCACTTACCTGGCAGGAGATGGGGGGCTGGTGGGCCTGGCACCAGGCACTACCATGCTCTGCAGCGATGGGAAGGTTCTCCTCTGCTCTGTCCTCGGGTGGCTCTTGAGCACTGGAAATAGGACACAAATGTGACTAAGGGACTGGACTTTGCATTTGATGTCATTTTTATTCCTTGCAGTAGCCCCAGGTGGCTGCTGGCCACTGTACTGGGCAGGTCTCATGCATGGTTGCTCCCTGTTTCAATAAAGAGGGAGCAAGTGACAGTTCAGAAAAGCCAGTCCTGACAGGGTGACAGCAGACTCAGCCAGCACCATCTGGTCTGGGGGATGGGAAGCCACCATGCCAGAAGGTCACTTGTCTGTGACAAGTGAGGGCAAGTTCCTCCTTCCTCCTCCTTGCCCCCATGTCCTGGCAGAATGGACAGCCGGTGAAGGCCCGGGACAATGTGACATGCCCGCAGGGCTGGCATTTTAAGAAGAAGTGGGCTGTGGAGCTCAATCGTGCGGTGGACAGTGAGGGTCAGTGCTGTAATCAGGGCCATGAGGCAGGCGGGAGGGCTTGGGATCCCAAATCATGCAAGTCGTGGGGCTGTTCTAAGCAGGTCAGGGTTCTGGTTCTTTCAGCAGCTTTGAGCAGTGAAGCCACCTGGCATGTTGGTTTATTTTTATCTCACTATGTAGTTCGTGATGCTCTTGAACTCATTCTGTAGCCCAGGCTAGCCTTGAACTCATGGTGATCCTCCTGCCTCATCCTCCTTAATGATAGGCATTTGCCACCATGCCCCATGCTCTTGGGTAGGATGAGCCTAGATTCCTGGGGGTCCCTGGCCTCCAGCATTCAGGGGCCCCCACCCTTTCCCCCTGACATGGGCCCTATCTAGAGGGGAGACTGTGCATGTCCTCACTGTGAAGCATGGCTCCACAGATGTCTGTGAGGCTCAGTCTACCCAAGGTGGCTCCAGCAAGGAGCAGCAGGTTGGAGATCTCCAGCCCAGGCTCCAAACAGGCTCTCAGCTGGGTGGCCATGTGCAAGTCCCTTCCCTGTTTGTAGCACAGACTGTCAGGCCCGGGGTGTGCAGGTGACAGTGTGACCACACCTTCCTGGGGGGAAGGGAAGGCACTGCCTGTGTCAGGTCCTCCTCAGGCCAGTCCAAGCCCCTAGCCTCCAGGCACCCGAGGACCCATAGGCCCTGGTGTCGCCCGCAGGCTGGGAGTACGGCGTGGGGATCCCACCATCGGGGCTGCCCCGGGTGTGGACCTCGGTGGAAAAGAACTACCACTCGCGTCGCCGGCGTCACTGGGTGCGCATGCGCTTCCGGAACCACGGGGAGCTGGGCCGCGAGGAGCAGACCGTGTCCTTCCTGCAGATGGTGAGGCCCCCACTCCACAGGGCCTGGTGGGGTCACAGGCGCAACCCCTTGGGCGGTGGCAGGAGCGCAACCCGCTTTCCTCCGCAGCAGGGCCTGGCCCGTGAGGGAGAGGAAGGCTGGGAGTACGGCAGCTTGGGCTCCACGTTCCACCTGGACCCGCAGCCTCAGAGCCGCTTCCGCCGCCGCTGCTGGCACCGCAGGCTGGCCCCCAACAAGAACACAGAAGTGGCGCCCATATTCCTCCTGGAGGGCTCCTTGGTAAACCCCGTGGGCTGAGCCGCACCTGCTTGCAACCTCAACTTCTGCAGGAGCAGAGACCAACCCGTGGGCCACCGGCAGCTGGGGGCTGGCAGGACAGGGAGGGTGGCACCCAAAGGGGAGGAGCGTGGCTTAAGGAGAGGAGGGAAGCCCCCGAGGTCTTCAGGGGAGGCTTTCCTGGGCACAGGCCATGGATCTGAAAACAAAACCCTGAATAGGAAGAGAGCAATGCGTGGTCCTCGGCTCAGGTCAGGGACTCCTGGCAGCCTGCCCGGGAGGACCAGCAGCTCCCCAACATGCCCTTCATCTACTGCACCCTTGACAGTGAGTGCTGGGCTGGGGGTTTGGGGAGTATGGCAGGATAGCCTGCGGGGACACTGGGGTGACAGACTTGGCTCCTCCACCCAGAGCCCTGCTACTACCAGCTCTTCTGCTACATCTACCAGGCCCGGAATCTAATACCCAACCAGATCCTCGTGTTCCAGGGTAGGAACGGCCCTTGTCATTCAGCCCTGGTTCCCCCAGTCCCAACAAAGTCACCCAGCAGTATAGTAAATGCTGGGAGGAAGTGGGGGACAGACATGCAGACCCCTCCCCCAAGCAGCTCCTGGCCTCAGTTGGGGGAAGTGACCCCAAAACAAAAAGTACAAGTGAGGGGCTGATTTTTTTTTTTTTTGAGACAGGGTCCCGCTGTGTAGTTCAGGCTGGCCTTGGACTCACTGTGCAGCACGGGCTGGCCTCGAGCTCACAGCGATCCTGTCTCACTCTCTGGAGTGCTGGGATGACAGGTGTGCTCCACCACACCTGGCAGGGGCTGTTCTTGAGTGGTGACCCTAATACTGTGGAATTAGAATGGGGGTCAGAGGGACTTCACCCTGTGGGGACCACATAGCTGAGCCTGGAGGAGGGAGCAGTTTGTCTGGGAGAGGCCTGCAGAGACAAGAGAGCCAGGGTGTCGTGCCTAGGAGACGTGTCACTTGTGATTGGCCAGAGGGGAGCCCCTTTGGTTGGGAGGAGCCTGTGAGGAAGGCCCACTGCAGGGTTAGGAGCTGGAAGCAGCGTCTCTAAGAGCCAGAGCAGTGGGTGGCAGGGCTCCAGGGGCAGCTGCCGGGCACCATGTCCTTTGGGGGCTCCAGCCTACCTTCCTGGGCCACTGGCTGCTGCAGCCATGTGGAGTGTCACCCCCAGCCCATCAGTGTGAAGCCCGGGCCTCAGTCCGGGGGGGCGTGGAACACACACAGGAGCCCGCGGCCCTGGCCCCTGGGTGGATGCCCAGGTCCTCTGGCTTTGCCGCACAGGCAGCTTTGCCCCGCAGAGCCCTTTGTGCGCGTGGTCTTCCTCAACTACAGCCAGTGCACCCAGCACCTGCCGAGCTCTTCAGCGCCCACGTGGGCCCAGACGCTGATCTTCCAGCACCTCCTGCTGCACGAGAGCCCCCAGGACACCCAGGAGAGCCCCCCACTTGTGGTGCTAGAGCTGTGGCAGCGCGATGCGCAGGTGCAGTGGGCTGGGCTGGGCTGGAGGCGAGAGGGGCTGTAATATAGAGGAAAGCATCTTGGGGAGCAGTCTCCTACGGAGAGTACCGTGCAAACATCAAGGTCACCCAGCCCATCCATGTGGGGAGCCCAGGATGGGAGACTCCTCCATTCTGGCTGCCGCATTTTGTGACTGTCTCCTCCCCTCCAGGGAAAAGAGAGCTTGTGGGGACGGAGTATGTGGCCTCCGGTGGTCTGGCTGGACCTCCGGCATTGGATGCTGCCGCCCCTAAGGTGGCACCCGCTTGTGAAAGAGCTGCGGGAGGAAGCGGGCGAGATCTTGGCAGCCTGTGAGCTGATCCTTGAGACAGAGGTACTGGGAGCCACAGGTGTCCACAGCCAGCAGGGCCAGCTCTCCCCCACCCCGTGAATGGCCCGAGGCCTCCTCAGCCGAACCCATTAAGGACCTGCTTGGGTTGGGGATGGGGCTCAGGACTGGCCCACGGGGCCTCAAGCATCTGCACCCTGTTTTTTGTCCTCCAGAAGCTGAGGGAGAAGCACCTGCCCCTCCTAAGTGTTCCCTGGAAAGACGGGATCTACATGCTGCCCAAGAGCATCCAGCCCACCATGAGGAAGACGGCCATTGAGGTGCGGGCGGCGAGAGGTCGGGAGGGGTCACCAGGCAGCATGGAGCCCCTCAGCTCTCTGCTGGGCCCTCCTGACTATCCATTTAAAGCTTGCACCCTGAGAAGACTCTCTGGGGTTGGAGCGGGCAGGGAAATGGAGAGCAGAGGCTCTGATACAGCGTCGTAAATCACTGCCCTGCAAGTCTTCATGGTGGGTAGCAGACAAGGGGCTGTAACACTCGTGGTCACCTGTGGCCTCGGCCACCCCACGCCGCAGAGGTACTTTGCAGGAAGGAAATGGAGCTGGGTATGGTGGCACACACCTGTAATCCCAGCCTTCAGGAGGCTGAGGTAGGAGGATCGCCACAAATTCCAGGTCCGCCTGGGCTACACAGTGAAACCCTGTCTCAAAATAAAATGGAGGTTCTGAGACAGCAGATTCCACGACAGTGACCAGGGGCTACGTGACAGAGCCACAACTTAGGCTCAGCCCTGCCTGACACCAAATGCCAGGATGTGGCTTTTGGGAGCAGTATGGAGGACCGCACACTGAAATCAATACCGTGCCACAAGTCTACTAACCAGCAAAGGACAGTCAGGTCCTCCAGGGACAGGAGGCCTCTTCAAGTTCAGGCAACCCAGCTGGTCCCCATGCTAGGTTAGAGGTGGCCCACAGGAAGAAGCCACAGGTATTTCCCAAGGTGCCCATTGTCAGCTGAGATATCACTGGGTGTAGAGCCACTGACTGGCCACAGAGTTCTCTAGGACACAGGGCAACAATGAACTAGGTGACATGGGGCCCTGAGAAATCAGGAAATCTCATAGCAGGAAACAAAAGAAATCTGCTTCTGTGGGTGGGTCCTGGCGAAAGCCATCTCAGGAATTCATGGGTGAGGCTGGTGACACCTAAGAGGCCCAGTGGTGGATGTGGTGGCCTGCAGGCACCTCCTCATGGGGAGGGAGCTCAGTGTCTAGGCCTTGGGGACAGGCACGTCCCTCAGAGGACAGCGAGGCCCAGGTGCCTTCAGACTGGCTTCTCCGCACAGCTAAGTGCCTCACCCTGCGGGCTGCCTGAGACACGTCATTCCTGGACAGCTGTGCCCCCTGCCCAGGACCTCCTCCAATGCGCTGCCTGGCCCTGCCCTCCCTCCTCTGTCCTGGCAGATCCTGGCCTGGGGCCTCCGAAACATGAAGCAAGCGCGCCACCCGCAGCTGCTGGTGGAGTGTGGGGGCGAGTCCCTAAGAACAGAGCCCATCAGGGACTTCCCAACCAACCCCAACTTCCCTGAGTCCGCACTGATACTCACGGTGGTAAGAGGCCCGGGGCGGGGCTGGGGCGCCTCCTCTCCGGGGACCCTCACAGCCGTTCTCCCTGGTGGCAGTTCATGCCCAAGGAGGAGGCCTACGTGCAGCCCCTGCAGCTGAAGGTGCTGGACAACCAGGACTTTGGGCGGCAGACTGTGGTGGGCCACGCCAGCGTCGACTTCCTGCGGCCCTACTTCTGCGACCCCTGGGCGCGGGACTACCTGCCCCCACAGCTCCCAAGTATGGCGCCGTCCACTTGCCTCCCTAGGTCCCCACGGGCGCGGGGAAGGGCCCTGGCTCCCCGTGGGGAGGGCAGTCTCCCTCCTTGGCCGTCCCTTCCTGAAGCTCACAGCTGTGTCTCTCCACACAGCGCTGTCTGTGAAGAAGCACCAGAAGGTGGGCAAGCAATCCCGCTGTGCACAGCAGCAGCCCTCTCCTCAGAGACGTCAGAGCCCCTGTGCCAGCTCTGGGCTGCTGGCCTCACCTTATGCCCTCCACCTTCTAGGTCCTAGGGTTCTTCTACCAGAAGTTCTGGTTCAAGTCCAGCAAAGCTGAGGTGAAGTAGGCCCTGTCCCGGGAGCAGGAGCCGGTGGGTCCCGGGAGGTGGGGATACCCCTGCCCGAGTGCCAGCGTGTCCTCTTCCCTCCCAGGACGAGTATGAGCATGACGCGGACTGGTGGAGCAAGCTCTTCTGGGCCACAGGGGATGACAAGTCCCCAAAGTACAAGTACCAAGACTACCACACCCTGAAGGTTTGGAGGGGCCTAAGGCAGCAGGAAATCTCCCACGGGAGGGCGGCAGACCCAGCCTTGGTTCCTCTGGAAGCCATTAAGGGGCGTCTCTGTTGTCCCCTGAGATAAGCAGAGCCTCTCCACTAGATGCTTTGGAAAAGGCGTGGGAGCCCCTGGCCCCTTGGTCTGATCCTGGCTTGGCCCTCCCTGCCCTGCAGGTGTACAACTGTGAGCTGGAGGCGGTGCCAGCCTTCCAGGGCCTGCAGGACTTTTGCCAGACCTTCAAGCTTTACCAGGAGGAGCCCAAGGTGGACAGCCCTGTGGTAGGGGAGTTCAAGGTGTGTGTCCCGTGAATGAACGACCACGTTCCTCTGGCCAGCACGCTACTCAACACTGTGCTTCCTGCTGCAGGCCACGGCTACCCCTGTGGGTCTGTTCCACAGCCTTCTGTCCCTGCATCCTCTCTGCTGGTCCTGGGCTGGGAACCCTCCTTGGAGGGTTACAGACCTCGGCCCCAACACCCTCCGTGCTCCCCAGGGTCTCTTCCGCATCTACCCTTTTCCTGAGAATCCAGAAGCCCCCAAGCCCCCGCGCCAGTTCTTGGCTTGGCCAGAGAGAGAAGACTTGCCCCAGCTGTGCCTAGTGAGGGTGTACGTGGTTCGAGCCATCAACCTGCAACCCCAGGACTACAACGGCCTGGTAACGAGCAGGCCCATGCAGCACAGGCCTCTCACCCCTGCCCAGCCCCTTCCTGGAGCCCCTCAGGTTGCTGAGCCCCAGAACACCAACTCCTCTAGGCTCCACGCCAGGGGTTCACTGCTGCCCAGGGGTCCTACTGGCCCTGACCAAGCTGAACGGAGCCTATCACTTCCTGTCCATCCCCTAGTGTGACCCTTATGTGATCCTGAAGCTGGGCTCCACGAAGCTTGGCAGCCGGGACGCGTACAAGCCCAACACTGTGGACCCCATCTTTGGCACGTGAGCTGCCCCTTCCCTGCCCACTGCTCCTCTCCAGGCCACGCTGAGGCGTCTCTAGCAGACAGAACCTCTCATTCCTCCCAGCAGCCACCTCGGGCTCTCGGTGCCCACCAGGGAAGACAGGTGGGTGGGCGGCCAGGCTCTCCCCTCCCTCGCGCTCTGCTTGGGATGGAAGTGCAGGCCACAGCCCAGGCCATCAGGTGATTTCCAGCTGGGCCTAGGTGCTGCTGATGGTGGACAGAGCCTGTGCTGCGCTCTGCTCCCAAATCCACCATGCAGCAGCAGAGGTGAAGAAGGGACTCTGGGCTGAGATGCCGGCCCGTCACAGCCTCTGGCCTCTAGGATGTTCGAGCTCACCTGTACCATCCCCCTGGAGAAGGACCTGCAGATCCAGCTACTCGACTTTGACCTGTTTTCCCTTGATGATGAGATTGGAACCACAGTCATTGACCTTGAGAACCGACTCCTGTCTGGTTTTGGAGCTCGCTGTGGGCTCTCCAAGTCCTACTGCCAGTGAGGAGGCCTGCGCAGGCGGGGTGGGGTCGGGGTTGGTAGTGAGCATGTACCTCCTTGGGAGAGGCAGGGGACCAGGATGGACCTGCCCCATCTCCACCCACGCTTCCAACACTGCACATTCTGCAGCTCAAAGCCACCGTTCCCCAGGACCCATACTGCTTCTGTCCCTCTCACATGCCCTGCAGGTCAGGGCCCTTTAGGTGGCGGGACCAGATGCCCCCGAGCTACCTCTTGGAGCGCTATGCCAAGCGCAAAGGGCTGCCTCGTCCAGTGTTTGACCCCGAGGGAGACTCTGTTCTATACAGGGGGAAGAAATTCAATCTGCAAAACTTTGGTGAGCTCAACACACTGCCTGAAAGCACAGGCACAGGCCTATGAAGGAAGAGCTGCAGATGGGGGCAGGGGGAGGACAGGCGATCACCCCTGAGCCAGAGGACAGCCTACCCGGTTCCCCACTTGCCCACTCCAGGCTGGGCTGGGGAGGGCGCCTCGGAGGGCTGATGGCCTTGTGGTCCTCTCCTTCCAATCCAGAGCCCAAAGCCCCAACCGCGCCGGATCTGGGCCCTAAGAAGGAGCGGCTGGCGCTGTACATCCTGCACACCCAGGGGCTGGTGCCCGAGCACGTGGAGACACGCACACTGTACAGTGACAGCCTGCCGGGCATGGACCAGGTATGAGACCAGAGGGGCTGCCTGCTTCCTATGGGACACGTGTTTTGCACATGGCCCACAGATGTCACTTGGAATAGAGGACATCAGAGCTGGAAAGGTCACCTGCATCTGCTGGGGGAAGTGCTAAGCAGCCCTGGCAGCTAGCACCTCCGTCTCCTTAGTCTCTGAGAGGAGGCACCTCAGGGCACAGTGCAGATGTGACAGCCTTGCTTCTGGCTGCCGATTGCAGGCTGTTTTCTGCATGGTAAGGAGCCCCAAACACAGCGATGAGATCCCCGAGGGTACCCTCATTACCCTCTGCCCTCCAGCCACCATGTGGCTCCTTATTCTCCACAGCGCTCCAGCCGAGGCACATTCTAGAGCAAAGTCCTCTTCCGAGTAGTACTGTTAAACTAATCGTTCTCATTACGCCTCTTTTCTCAAAGGGGTCATTTTAAGAGGGGAACTTAGGACTAGTGCTTGGAAACACAGAACATATTCTTCTGCTTCCAAGGCTGGCCATGCTGTCCTCTGACCTTTTGTTTTCACCGTTCATTCCGTCTTCCTTCTCGGGCCCCTGCCCTTGGTGACTGCTCCATATCCTGACAGTAAGCGAGCTGACTGAGCAGCCAGTTTTCTTTTATGCGGCTTAATAAATGAAAGCCCAAGCCCTTCTATGCTCCAGAGCCACCTAGCTGTGTGCTTTCCACCCTCCCAACCCCAGTCACAAGTGAAATCATGCCACCATACTTGGGGCCTGGAACTAGATACTCACCCACCCCAAGGGAAGAAGAGGCAGCTCTGCACTCCGTGTGGAGGGGACACAGCCCTGGGACACAGCTCAGCACACGGGCAAGGCTGCAGGCTGTCCTGTTAGTGCCACGAACACTGACCCATCTGGCCCTAGGGAAAGGTGCAAATGTGGGTGGACATCTTCCCCCAGAAGCTGGGGCCACCTGGCCCCCCTGTCAAAATCAGCACCAGGAAGCCTAAGAGGTGAGTGAAACCCACTTCCCCATCGTCACAACTGTCCTCAAAGGCTGAGCTGCGGGGATCTTTCTCTGTTGGGAAGAGAGGAACCCAAAATTCGGCAAAAGCCTGGAGGGCGGCCCCCAGGCCTCACCCCCTCAGCAAGGCTGCATGGGGCTCGGCTCCTCAGCAGAGCCTCAGAGCACAGTGGCTGTAGGTATGAGCTGCGCTGCATCGTCTGGAAAACCGCGCATGTGGACCTGGTGGACGAGGCGCTCAGCAGAGAGAAGATGAGCGACATCTACGTCAAAGGGTCAGGAGGGCACCTTGTACAGGATGGGGGTGGTGTTACACTGCCGTGGCACCTGGTGGGAACTGGAGACCAGATGTGTGAAAGGACGCTGGCCGCAGGTGGCTGTTCGGGCTAGAGAAGAACATGCAGCAGACAGATGTCCACTACCACTCCCTGACCGGGGAGGCCATTTTCAACTGGCGGTTCATCTTCACCATGGACTACCTGGCAGCAGAGCGCATGTGCATCGAGAGCCAGAAGGTGCCAGGGAAGGAGGGGTGCTGCCTCAGAGCCCAGGCACTCCCCTGTCCCCGTGTCCTCCAGGGACATGCATGTGGTGACAGATTTAGGAACTGCCTACAGGCAGAAACCCTATCCTTGGTAGTCAGTCCATCACTGCTGGGGAGTGGGCTAGCAGGTGTCCAGGGGATGTCACCCTTGCAGGCTGTAATATGTCCCCCATCTTCCAGGATTATGTATGGAGCCTGGACCCTACGTCCACCAAGTTCCCAGCCCGGCTCATCATCCAGATCTGGGACAACGACACCTTCACCAGTGATGACTTCCTGGGTGAGGCCGGCTCAGGGTGGTGACCCAGGCTGAGGGGTGCCCCTTGCTGACGGGGCTTTGCTTCTTGGGCCTAGGGGTCCTGGAGCTGGACCTGTCAGACATGCCCCGTCCAGCCCGGCATGCCAAGCAGTGCTCCCTCCAGATGCTGGACAGTGAGCCCAAGTGGCCCTACTTCGTCCCACATGAGCGCTTCTCCCTCTTTAAGAAGAAAACTGTAACTGGCTGGTGGCCCTGCCAGGTCCAGGAAGGTGACAAGCAGCGCCTATCGGTAGGAGCTGGAGAAGGTGTCTCTTGAGCAGGACTGCTGTGCTGCATGGCGCAGCTCCAGCAGCCTTCCGGGGATCTCAGCTACCCCTTTCCTCCCTGGTCTCTGGTCCTAACCACTTCACCCCACTGATCCTGGCCTCACCCGTGTGTCCCCAGGGCAAGGTGAAGATGACGCTGGAGGTCCTATTGGAGAAGGAAGCCTTGGCTAGGCCAGCAGGGCGAGGCCAGTCGGAGCCCAACCAGTATCCCACACTGTACCCTCCCCTGTAAGGCCTGCAGGGCGGGGGCTCCGAGCGTCTCTCCTCCATCCATGGGGCGGAGGGGGCAGTCACTTCCTACTATGTAGCTCAGCTACAATCTGCAGAGAATGGGTTTAGGGGTGGGTAACCCCAAAAGGAAAGCTCTCTGCTCTGGATCCCTGGACCAGAAAGTTCTCCTGCTCTCTCTTTCTGACATCTGCCTGGGCATGGACAGACGTGCGAGCAGTTCCTTCATGTGGCTGCGGTCTCCTCGATACCTGTGCTTCGGTCTCTGCAGACGCTACCGCTGCAAAATCCTAAGCTTCTTAGCCTTGCTGGTCGTAGCATTTATGCTGTTCAAATTTATCTACTCAGCTCCGGTGAGTGGCCGCCTCAGGGGATGGGGACAGCCAAGAAGGGCACCTGCAGGCTGCTGGCTCAGCCTGACTCTAGTGATGCTTCTCTCCAGAACTACTTGGCCTTGAACTTGATCCGCCCTGGACTCCGGATGCAGCCTCCCATTAAAATATACAACCTCATCACTTGGCCCACTGTCAGCAATGCTAGTCCTTCCCCCACGGTCAGCAGTGCTAGTCCTTCCCCCCTGACCACCCCGGCTCCAAGCCTACAGGTTGTGACAGACCACCAGCAGCCATTCCTCCAGGTACCGAGTCAGCGCCTGGGTGACATCTTCCCAGAACTTCTGGCTCCCCAAGACTGATTCTGCCTGGCCTCCTGCCTGCTGTCAGCCATCCACCCCTGGGCTTCCCGTAGCACCGATTCTGTCTTAAAGGACATACACAAGGGATGAGGTGTATTCTGCCTATTGTGTCCACCAAGAGTAGCAGAGCTATAATTTCCCACTGAAAATAAACACATTTTGTAGCAGACCCACCTTGTCATTTATTTGGGGGGTTAGACGGCATGAAAAGGACTCATAGGGCCAGGGAACAATGCCACTTGCATGTACATCCACTAGGCCTCGGGTGTCTCCCATGTGACAGGCTCTCAGCACCAGAGGAAACAGAGGGATGGTGACTGGGAGAGATGGCTCTCGTGGCTAAGTAGTGTGCCAGGGCCACACCCAGAACACCAGGGCTACAGAACCCAGATCCATGTTTGGCCCCACTCGCATGGGAAGCATTTGTTTCTAGCACAAACAGCCAGGGCCACGGCAGGATAGAAAATGCGATGGGTGGTTTTCTTGGGCCACTCATTTTTCTAAAGAGAGCAGCCTGGTCCCCTATGCTGTGTGGGGACTCTGTTTCCCAATTCCCTGCCCTCTTTAAAAGGCCTCCAGGGCTGGGGATTTAGCTCAGCAGCACAGTGCCTGCCTGGCAAGCATAAGGTCGTGAGTTCAATTCCTGGTACCAAAAAATAAAAATAGTAATAAAAGACCTCCAGGTGCTCATGAGCTGCAGCCATGGAAGCCCCACAGTTCTGTCTCTGCCTGTGCTGTCTCATGAGCTCTTCTAGGTCCTCCACCTCACAGGCTCTCTCTTTCTCCTCTGAACTCAAAGGACAAAAGCCACCATTTCCCTCTTCACTCTCCCCGGTCCGGAGGCCAAATGCGAGGTGGCCATTTGCCCTGCAGTTCTCTGGAGCTGCTCTGCTGTCGAAGGGGGTGCTGGGAAGACGCCTGCCACCTGTGCTCACCTTTGCGTCACACGGCAGGCCTGCACGAGGCAAGGCGGAAGGCCCTGGAAGGCAGAGGTGCACCTGCAATGGGGACCCCGCCCTCCGTGTGCAGGGAGGCCCACCCTACCCCACCACCGCATCCCAGAAGGCACAGGAAGAGCGATGGACCTGAGGTGCAAGAAAAAAGCCTGGCCTCCCCCAACCCACCCCCAAAAGGAAGGACAGAGGCAGAAGCTCGTGATTCGTTCCATCAGCCACTCTAGAATTTCCCTTCGGTTACAGAGGCCCAAGGACAGCTGTCTTCTGGGGACACCCTGGGCCAAACCACCTCCATCACAGGGCAGTCAGGTGAGCAGCATGTGACCCTCGTCAGATAAGGCAGTGGAGGAAAAGTCAACACCTAGGACAGCACTCGGGCTGTACTGCTCAGTGACAGTGAGCTCTTCCAGGTGTAAAGGAGGCTATTTTGCTCCCAGACTTACAACATGAGAACAGCAACTATTTCTTCTCTGTTAAGAAAAAGAAGACAAATGTCCTCTTGGGTGGGTGTGGGGTACCCGAGGCTAGGTAGTAAGAAAGCTTCCTTACACTTCCAATACTTAAAAGCAGGTTTCCCAAAATCACAATCAAGAGAACATGCAGGTAAGCAGGCTCCATCCAGCAGGTCCAGAGACACACTACAAAAGCCGCTTTCTGTGGCAAACCTAGACCTGGTCTGGCAAACCACGATCTTCTCTCCAGCTTCTCTCAACGTGCACACCGACTACCACCAAAAGTAGCATGGAGGGACCCAGGCACGCCAACACGGCCCCTGCAGACGACAGAGCTGGAGCCTCGTACCACAGCAGGAAGCTCCAGCACCATCAGGGAGGGTCCCTGAAACCCAAGTCTGCTTGGCAACCCCTCACAGAGGCGTCCAGCTCAGGTTGCACAACAGAGATGAGAGGAGTAGAGAGGGAGGAAAGGAAGCAGGAAAGAAGCTTCCACAGATTTGCACGGGAAGCTCCTCGGTGGGCAGAGGGTTGGGCGAAGAGCAGAAACCAGTACTCGAACATCCTGAAGGTATGAGAGCAGCTTCCGTTCAGTGTGGATGTAAGAATGAGGCCGTCCCGCCTGGGCTCCCCCGGCCTGCTCTGGCATTTGGGCATCACAGCCACGCGTGTCCTCTCCATGCCTCTTCACCCCCTGGGTGGGTGAGGGGCACCCGAGGCCCGGTAGTAAGAAGAAGGCCTACTTCCTGTGTGTGGGGTGTGTTGGGGGAGCCCAGGAAAGACTACAGGGGAAGGCACATCACAGTGGTGTCCTGGGCCGGAGGCAGATGTCCCTGTGGGTGACTGTGGGAAAGCAGGGTCCTTGCATTCATCCAAAGCTGCAGTGACAAAACACAGTCCCCATCCAGGCCAGTTGAGGCGATGGTCACAGAGGTGGTGGCAGCACGAAGGCTCAGTAGAAGCGCTTTCGACTCTGTTCCTGCCATTTGTTGTAGAGTATGATACCAATGACAATGGCAAACACAGAAAACACCAGGGAGAAGAAGACGATGAGGAAGAGGGCCAGGCCACTCAGGGGCTGCAGTGGGGCTGTCACTAGGCAGCAAGAGAGAAGCAAGTCAGACCCAGAGCCTGCCTGCTAGGAAGGATCAACCACACGCTGTCCAGTGCCCCCCAACCCGTTTCTGACACCCACTTCTGGAGAGCCAGGGCTTAGCCACCCCCTTCCCTGACGTCTCAATTTAAACACGAGGCAGCCACTCACTGCTGATCTGTAGCAGGGAAAGGCGGAAAGGCAGGTGCACGCATCCCTCCTTCTTCAGAGGACGCCTGCCTTCCACGCCGTGCCTGCTAGTCACCCTGGCCTTGGCATGGCCGCCCCTCCCCCACCACAGGGCCCTGTCCCAGGATCCCACACTCACTCTCGGGCAGCTTCATATTGTCCACCGAGGGCATGAACACGTCTCGATGCAGCTTCTCCTCCTCCGGGGTCCTCTCCACCGTCAGCTCAAACAACTTCAGGGAAATGACGTCATGATTGTCTAGAGAGTAAGAAAAGAGTAACTCCAGCCGCCTTGGAAATAGCACTTTGGTTCACACCTCTGATCCTTGAAAAAAATAACTGCAACCTCTCCATTTTGTCATTTCAAAATAGCTATCAGGGGAAAAAGAGAATGTGGAACAGGGTATATTTTGTATTTTTCTGGGTGCTAGATAGTTTAAAAATGTAGACATAATCCTTACGAGAATTAAATCCTGTATCACGTGACACCTTCTAGTCCAAGACACTTGGTGACACTGCACTTCCCGTGGTGAAGATCATGCACACAGGAGCTCAGGGCGCCTGTTTACCAGGTTGCAGGCTGTGGCAGGTGCAGCTGCAGCATAGAAGACACTTTGCCTATTTCTTTATGGCTCTTTGGAACTGGGACCCTGGGCCTCCCTAATAATTACCGAAGAACAGATCACGGAAATACACTGGATTTCTCCTTTAAAAGTATCATTACAAATCCATGCATTTAAATATTTTCCCTGTGCTTCAAAGCAGTGATATTTCACTGATGTTCAACTCAACTGATCTTTGTAGGTGAGAGCCTGTTGAAGGTGACTCCTGAGTCTTTTTAGATGGGCCTGGACGCTTTTGATATTTCCTCTGGCTTTCTGGGAAAGTCCTGGCTCGTATATTTCCTGCCTGAGACCTGGCATGAACCGTATCTTGAGGAAGTTCTGCTCCTTTTAGTGGGAACTGGCAGCATGAGACCACAAATGTGTGTGCTGGGGGGGTCCTTGCTGGGGTACTGTTTATTGCCTGGGGCCAGGATTCCTGGTCACTTCTGTCATCAGGATATTATCCAGTTTTGCCCTGCTAGGGTCTTTAGCAGGTCCCAGATGGTAAACACTGTGTTCATCTGCAATTGGAAAAATGTTTTAGTTGTAGGGCTTATTTAAGCCATGGGACAAAAGAAAATCCAGGTTATTGACCCTCACAATGTAGGGCCCTCAAAGCCTGGGAGAAGCTGAGCACAGTGGTGCAAACCTGCAATTCCAGCATGAGGGGAGCCTGAAGCAGAAGGATCACAAATTTGAGCCTAATTTAGTCAATTCAGTAACTTAGTGAGAGCCAGTCTTAAAATAAAAAATAAAAAAAGGGCTAGGGATGTAGCTCTGTGTGAAGGCCCTGGGTTCAATCCCCAGTACTGGAAAAATTAACTTTTGTTTCAAAAGCAAGTTTTATCCATAATAAATTATGTTAATCAGAAGAACCCTTACCTCTTTCTTATCGCTTCCCAACAGACATTCTGACTGGGGTGAAAGCCAAGGCAGAGAACAAGCAAACAAAGAGAAGCTATGAATCAGGCATGACAAAGAGAGAACCCAGAGGTGGCAGGAAAGCGGAGAGGTATTACTGATGTCACACAGTGAAGGAAGCCAAGGGTCAGAGCACTTGCTTAAAAGAGCAGAGGAGGGAACAGAGGGTGAAGCCCAGAACACAGCACTATATGCAGCAAAGCAGCAGATGCAACTTTGACAGGAGCAGGGTGAAGGGCAAGGCCTAGGAAGCGGGTGGATGGCTGGGAAACAAACGCCTCTGTACAAACAATGCACCCAGAAGTCTGAGCAGGAGGGGAGCCTGGGGCCAGTCAGGGGATGGCACAGTTCTGACAACAGCAGGGGCGCTGGGCACACGAGCAAGTGGAGGGCGGGGAGCCTGATGGCAGGGACAGGCAGGAAGTGCTGGCTGACAGCACCTAACACCTCCTGCGTACAACTGCACGGGAAAGCGCAGGCCTCCTGGGCCCCTGCTCCGCACAGCCCCGTCCAGCTGCCTCTCCCTCAGCGACTGACCAAGGCCAGCAACTGAGAGGAGGGGAACAAGCAAGGAGTGTGCCGGGCCGTACCCGAGAGATCGCCCGTGATGGAGGAGGTGCCGAAGTAGTATCCGCGGGGCAGCCGGACACCGGGCACCTCCAGACAGTCTCTCCACTCATGCTTGCCGTCGATGTCCATCATGATCTAGGACAGAAGGAAGAGCCAAGTCAGGCAGGCCTGGCGGGGAGGGAGCCAGCCCGGCACTCCTGGTCCCAGTGGGGCTCACCGTCAGATGCCTCTTGACGTAGCGGATCACGAGGAAGGTGTCGTAGTGGAGGTTGCGGATGATGGCCGTGCAGCCCCCCAGCTCTGTGGGCCTTCCGTCACGCTCATGGTCATAGCTGAGGGAGCCGTTGTTCACCATGACAGAGATGTAGGGGAACACCCGCTAGGACGCAGGGGGGGAGAGCGGACACAGTGAGGAAGAGCCTGCTGCAGGGCCGCAAGCAGCTAAAGGACTCTGCAGGTTACAAGCTGAGCCCCTCACGGTGGCCCAGACGGCCACTCTGCTGCTCACCCAAAACTCCGAGTCCATGCATTGCAATGGTCACTCAGGGATCTGGGCCCAGGAAGCCACTCAGCTTCACACTTGCCTGTGACGACCCTCCTCGTTCCTGACCTGGGCATGAAATGCCCCTGGAGACTCCGGGGTTTGCCTCGGCTCCTCCCGGAGAGCCCCTCTGGGAGGCCTACTCTGCCCAGTACTAGCAGGGTCCTTTTATGGCTATAAACCTACATTCAACTACTGCTTGGGGAAACAAATCATTTACTTGGCCTCTTCCCATCTCCACTTTAGCCCCATCCTTTCCCCACAGAAGGCTGCTCTGCACATAGCCAATACTCTGAAATACCTGTTTGGGCAGGGTTATCTTTCTACTGAAGATAGCATCTCTCGATTTTAAAATCCAACCGGCATAAGGTGGATTAGGACACGGAAGGCACTGCTGACGTGGCTGCTGGAGGGGCTTCTCCAGCCAGAGTGACTATGTTCCCAGGCAAGTGCCCTTCCGGCCCACTCCTGCCTCCTCCACACATAACTCCTCTGATAAAGCTGTGAGTAAGAGGGCCAGCTGTGCCCCACAGGAGGAGAAAACAGTCTCCCACCTACTTCAGAGGCCTTCTCCCTGCAGCAGAGCTGGAGGGGCAAGCTCTTCCCAGACCTGACGAGCCAACTGTCCAGAGCAGGCCTGGCGCCAGGCAGGCAGAGGGGCAGGGAAGGAGGAAGGGAGCACGAGGCATGCCACTCTTGGGTGAGCTCCCCACTGTCCCACACTCAACATGCAGGTGGAGATGCAGTCGAGACCAGAGACCAGGCCTCCTGGGACAAGTCACAGGACTCTGAGCAGCAACAGATGTTGGGTGACAGATGGGAATAGGCACGGCCACGGTGGGTCAAGAACTGAGTACCTGAACTCCCGGAGAATATCGCCTCTTCTGGGCCTGAGAGGGTCCAGCAGGTTATTAGAAAAACAAAGGAGAGCACAGAAGACAGGAGACCAAGTCAGAAAGAAACAGCCGTGAAGAGCTAGGACCCAAGCTGCGGTGGTGGAACAAACCGACCTAAATCCCCAGACAGAACTGTAGGGTCCACAAATGGCATTCAATATGTTCTTGTCTCCCTCAAAATTACATGCAAAACCAGTGCTTGTTGCAGAAAGTCTGGGAGTGGCAGCAGATTCTCAAAGGTCCCCTAGGAAGGCCTCTCTGGGCCTGAGGGTCCTGAACATTTCAGAAGCTTCACAAAAGTGTCCCACTGGCCAGTCAGGGCCTACATATATCTCTGGCAGTCAGAGAGACAGGCAGCCCCAACTTTGTACCCACACTGCTCTTCTCTACAGCCAGAAACAAGACAAACGGCTTCTAACGTGGAGCTATCTCTTACTTGCCAGGGTATCAGGATACAGTTCTTGCCTAGAAAACAAACACCCCACTGTTTGAGGGACCATGAAATTAACTCTAATCCAAAGGGCTCATTTGCCCTCTAATTGAGCCTATGGACACCTATTCCCAAGCAACTGCTGGATCCCAACCTCTGACACGTGGGCAAGGGGAAGCTCCGTGGGAACACAGCAGCATGAAGGACTCAGAAGGCACAGAAACCCCTTGGTTCTGAGCTCCCAGCACCAAGGAAAATGACACAAGCCCAGCCCCGCCTCGGTCTGGGGCAAAGTGGGAGGAGTGTGCAGCCCTGAGCATTTCCTGCTGGCACTTCTGTTACAGGCCAGGCACTCCCAATGCTGCAGCCTGCAGCAGGCAGGCAGACAGACAGACAGACAGACAGACATCTCTTCTCCTGGAACTGACACACAGCGAGCAGGTAAACACATCCTTTCAGATAGTGATGGTACCACAATGAATGCGTCACACGCAGTGTGACAGACTGATGAGGGAAGCCCTCCCCAGGAGGCCACATCTGAGCTGAAACTCCAGGTCTGCACAGGGGACTAAGGATGTAGCGAGGTGGCAGAGCACCAGCCCGGCACAAACAAGGCCCTGGGTTTGACCCCCAGCACCACACAAACAAAACAACCACAAAAGACAAAATGGGCAAAGTGCTTATCACAAAACTTGGCAACAGAAAGTGATGAATAAATGTTATTTAAAAAAAACAAAAGACCTGGGCCTAAAAAGCACAAGGCTGGCATATTCAAGGACTGGAAGAGCACAGGTGTCTCAGCCCAGCTAGTGAGGATGGGACTGGGTAGAGTGAGGGAGGAGCCACAGCACAGGGGCCATGGGGCCACAACAGGGGGCTGGAAAGGCCTAGAGCAGCACCCCACGGTACCCGTCCTGCACCGCTGGCAGAGTGCACACAGGACAGAAGGCAGCAGTCAGTCATCAGATCGATCTGTCACCATCCAGTTACTCTCCCACACTATCATTTGGATACAGCGATGGGGAACCTTTTAGTGCTTTGAGTGATAACAAACAGCTGGCTGTGGCATTCATGCCATAGGTTCGCCACAGCTGGAAGGGAATTGTGAACAGGTTATTGAGCAGTTCAGAAAAATTGCTTAGAAAGCTCATAATTTCTGTGAACAACTAAAGAAGGGACAAAAAAAAAAAGAATAAAGAATGCCCTACAGGGCCCCAATGACCTCAAGATTTGCTGCATTTTTTTTTTTTTTTTCAGGACCTTGTGCTTGCCAGGCAGGCGCTTGTGCTGCTGAGTTATATCCCCAGTCCAGAATTTTTTTTTTGAGCCGGGAATTGAACTAGGGACCTTGTGCTTGCTAGGCAGGTGCTTGTGCCACTGAGCTACATCCCCAGCTGCTGCATTTTTCATCTCCACACCCTCATCAGAAATTGAAACTAGCCTGGCATGGTGGCACACACCTGTAACCCAAGCCCTTTTGGCGGGGGTGGGCAGGAGGATCACCGAGAGTTCAAGGCGTGCCTGGGCTACATGGTGTGACCCCGTCTTTAAAAAAAAAAAAAAGAAAAAAGAACAAAATAATAAGTTGAAGCTGCAACTGCAGAGTGCCCGGGCCAGCAATCCTGAGGTTAAGGGTGTCTCACTCTTCCCAAGACTGGCGTGGCACCTGATTATGCAAGGACAGCCGGGGGCAAAAGGGCCCCAGGAGCACTCAGGGGAGCTTCCATCTGCACACGGTGGGTGCAGAGTCTAGAAGGGGATGCAGGAGGATGTGTTTTTAAAAAGCACCACAGAAGTCTGTGATGTACACCCACAGGTAACAACCCTGCTGGCGCTTCTGTTACAGGCCAGGCACTCCCAATGCTGCAGCCTGCAGCAGGCAGGCAGGCAGGCAGACAGACAGACAGACAGACAGACATCTCTTCTCCTGGAACTGACACACAGCGAGCAGGTAAACACATCCTTTCAGATAGTGATGGTACCACAATGAATGCGTCACACGCAGTGTGACAGACTGATGAGGGAAGCCCTCCCCAGGAGGCCACATCTGAGCTAAATGTGGCAGAGAGCCCCATGGCCCCTCAGCTGCAATTTGTCTGCCTCAGCAGCTCATGACTCGGCCTTCAACCTTTAACTGCTACCTTATTTTCTATTCCTAGTCAGGAGCGCTTGAAGTGTTGCTCGGACAGCCACTAATTTCAACACGGCAGCTGATATTTTTCCCCTGGAAAGCAGCCTACAGCTGGCACCAAAGGGGGAAGAATCACACTTATTCCGACAAGGTGGCAGTTTTGTTCCTAACTTGAGAATCACCGGAAATAAGGAACTCCCACCTATTGTCCAAATGATTACTGTTTATTGGGTAGAGAATTTTTTTTAAGTACTACAAGGCCAGTTAACTTTTTTTTTTGAAAGACCTTCTACAGCTGGGGGCATGATGGTGAACATAATCCCAGCACTCTGGGAATCTGAGGCAGGAGGATCACAAGTTCAAATCCAGCCTGGGCAACTTAGTGAGACTCTATTTCGTTTTTTTTTGTTTGTTTCTTTGTTTTTTGATTTTTTTTTTTTTTTCGGGTATCAGGAATTGAACTCACGACCTCGTGCTTGCCAGGCAGGCGCTGTGCCACTGAGCTAAATCCCCAGCCCCGAGACCTTATCTCAATATAAAGATAAACAGGGTTTAGGATGTAGCTCACTATATATTTAGTTTTTGTTACTCCACTATCAATCACTCACTCAACAGGTAAAGGCCCTCTATAGGATCATACCTAGACTGAAAAGCTATTCCTGAGACTGTAGATATATGGACTCTATGCTAAAATTCCAAAGGTCCAAAGCACACAGGTCATGAACTTCCAGATGGCAAACAGAGCATGAAGGGTGTGTGTAATCACAATGCCACTCACAGCTGCATGACCCTGTGTGGACCACACCACCTTGCGGACATTCTATCTCCTCACTGGAAACAGAGAGAATCGCACACAGCTGCCAGGGTTAATCAGAGGAGGTAAAAGGAGACCAGCAGCGCATTCAGAACAGTGCCAGGCATTCATTCAATCAAGGACAACTAAATTTATGCATTTCTAGATATAAATATTGTTTTAAGGAGCAGTTCAGGCCTACCCACTCACTGCTCAAAAGCCCTTCACAAACATCATCATGATCTAAGAAACCCATGGAATGACTTTAATCTCATATATCTTAGTTGTGAACCCATCAGAGCCAGCCCAAATCTAGCAATTTGAGGGCTTCAATAGAGTACTCCAAAATCAGAGAATTTTAATTTGATGTTCACAATCCACTCCCTCCAATTATTATAAACACCCTCTCGGAGTGCAGCCCCAATTCACGCTGCCCGTCACTGTAACAGTATGTGGATACTTTCTGTGAGTGAGAAGAGCTATCACCTCTATGTAACAGAAGATCTTGCCTATAGTTCTACTTTGGGGAATCCAAACTTCTTAAAATTGTATGTCAACTCCCCTGTTTATGTGCCTCCTTCTATGGGGCTAACACTTTTATCAGACCCTCAAAAGGGTCAAAACCCCAAGAAAGATAAAGACTAACCAAAAATGACACATGCCCTGCAGCGCTGGCTCTTGCTCCTTCCTCTTCCCCGCCTCAGACAGGAAACACCACCGGCTCCCTGCCTTCATACAATACCAGCAGAAAGCCACTGCGTTTCCCTCGCGGCCAGCTCTTTGCAGAGCCCAGCCTCAAGGCCGGGCTACATCTAGCCAGCCTGCCTATCTGTGCACCACAGGCCAGGCTGCCAGGGGTCGCCCTCAGAAAACGACGTCCTACCTAGGCCTGGAAAAAGGCCCAACCCACACCCAAGCCAGGCGGTAACAAGAGAACCTAAGAAGGTACAGCACTGAGTTCCTTTAATAATGTAAAGACTCTCTCTGCCAGCAGAAAAAGACCAAGGGGGATCAGTGTCTTCATCAAGATAAAGACCTGACAGTGTTTTAACTTTTTTTATTTTTATATTTTGGTGGGGCTGGGGATTGAACTCAGGGCTTAGATGTGCTAAGCATGCCCTCTACCACTTTGTTACATCCCAGACTACATGGGTTTTTAAACTAAATGTCAAAGTACTATTCATTTTATTTTTTTCTCTGTACCATGATTTTTATGTATTACATTATTTAACAGCACTCCTTATCACTATATGGATTTTATCATACATTTGCACCATTCTACTTGGATTTTTGACCTTTGCTTCCATTCTTTATATTATCCTTCTTGAGAACACAGTGTATTTCATCCATTACTACAGATAAGTTTCTGACTGTCTTATTCAGTTGGTTTTCAAACTTGTTCATTTTCTTTTAGTTCAGGGGAGAAAAAATAATCAATGCATCAAAAAATATACATGGGGAGTGCCTCAAACAAGCCTCAATCCAGGAAGACCAGAGAGCTGTTCTCCCTGGTCTGCCTCCCAGGGTGAGGCCCAAGCCTCCCAGTGAAGAATGCAGGCCAAGGCTGCTGAGGCTGTGTGGGGGGCTCTCACCCCAGGAAATCTCCTGCCATCAGACTCTGATTTCAACCAAGAAGAGATGTTCACCCACCAAGATTGCCACTGAGCTCCATGCAACTTTCACCAACATCTGGGTTCTCCTGAGAAACGGACAATCATCAGCTAATGAATTCACAGTGCCAAGAAAAGACGATAGGGCTGTGTTTTAGCCAACATTTAAAAAATAACAGCAACACTGAGAAATAATCCATACACCACACAATTCACGTCAAGTATACAATTCAATGGCTTTGGTATATGCAAAGTTAAGATCATGATTTCATTTCCTTACCCTAAAAATAAATCTTGCACCCACTATTAGCCACTCTCCCGATCTGCACCCCAGTGCCCCAGCCCTAGACAATCCCTAGCCTGCCTCTCTCTCCAGATCTGCCTGCATGGACATCTCATGCACTCCACTGTATGAATATATCCACTCAATGGCTGATGGCCATTTGAGGTGTATCTATTTTTTGGCTGTTATGATTAATGCTATGAACATTCCTATAAAAGCTCTTAATAGCCGGACACGGTGGTACATACCTAGAAACCCAGCACCCTGGGAGGCTGAAATAGGAGGATTGCAAGTTTGAACCCAACCCAAAACTTAGTGAGACCCTCTCTCTTAAAAAGAAAAAAGCTTTTTGTGCAGACATGTTTTCATTTCCCTTGCATGCATAGCTGAGTGGAACCGGTGGATCATATGAGCTATCTTTAACCATTTGAAGAAACGCTTATTTTCCAAAGCACCTGTGTACTGTTTTAAATTTCCACCAGCCACGTAAGAGAGCATCACATCATCCCACGTGCTTGTCAACACTTATCCTCTGTCTTTATTTTACCGACCTGGTAGGTGTGAGATAGTACCTCATTAGGGTCATTTGCTTTTCCCTGATGGATGATAATGCTGAACGTCTTTCCTTATATTTAATGTCCATTTGTTTATCTTCTTTGGAGAAGTATCTATTCAGAATCTTTGCCTATTTTTCATTAGGTTCTCTTTTTAATGTTGAGTTGTGTTCATTTTTGTTGTTTGGTTTTGGTTTTTTCAGACAGTTTCACTATGTAGCCCAGGCCAGCCTTGACCTTGCAACTCTGCTGCCTCCTCTCCCAAATTGCTGGGATTACAGGCCTGCACCACTGCACCCAAATTCTAATAGGTTCTCCTCAGTCTTCAGGATTGTCTATAACCTCTCATCTGTGAAATAGTTCTTCTTCCTTTCCCATCTGGATCTTTTATTTTCCCATCTAAATGCTCTAACTTGAGTCTCCAGAACAGTGCTGAACATAAGTGTTAGAAATGGATATCTCTGTCTTATTCCTAATTTTATGAGGAAAGAAGTGAGAGACAAGTTTATTACAAGAAGTGAGACAAGTTTTTACCACGATCTCATGGAGCTGGAAGAACTGCTCCACACGACCTCTCTGCCTCCTTGCCACCTTTGTCTGCCACATCCTCCTCCCACAAACCACAGAAATTTGCCAGTTTTCAAAAGGCCCAGTAATTGTCACCCTCTGCTTAGGTGCTTGAAACAATAAAGTAAAACACTGAGACTGGCGTCTCTGGAGTCAGATCCACACCTCTGTGAGGCTAACAAGTTCTATAACCTTCCTGCACGTAAAATGCAAGCTAAGAGGGTAGAA